TTGAGAAAAAGGAGATGGATTTTTTCAATTTGTGGCGATACATTATGTCCCCAAACTTCACACCCATAATTCAATATATATATATACATGCAACATATGTATCGAATAAAGACATTTTAGTTTCCGTATTAAGGGCAAAATGTTTCATTTTTCTTTTTAAGTGGTAATATGCTTTCCTTCCTTGACATGCTAATGTATCTTGTGCAATAGTAAATCTCTCTCTCTCTCTCTCTCTCTCTCTCTCTCTCTCTCTCTCTCTCTCTCTCTCTCTNAATCAACACGTCTGGCTTTTGCTTGTCAACCATTATTACTTTTCCGGAAATGACGACGATAGAGTGGTTTTCCCGCCAAACTTTTGATAGTGTTTGGATAAATCCAGAGGGATATAGAACGTAAAATTACCCATGATTCTCAACCGTGTGCTGAGCGGTGGTGTGAGAAATTGCACGAAGTCGTTGTGTCTATTTTTAGTAACATTAGGTAGTTGCGTATTCAAACTAATTTCGGTGCCCGAGAATCCGAAAATGACGCTCTCGAATTGTGGGGAACAATCTCGTTCCCCACAAAACTGAACTATCCCCATAACGTTGGTCTTTTGACCAGTGAGACACCCCCACAACTACGGTATCTCGGGAGCTCTCTCTCTCTCTTCTCTCTCTCTCTCTCTCTCTCTCTCTCTCTCCGTTTGACTGCGGCGTACAAGTTTTACCCCCTTGAAATAAACATTATCGTCAATTTCTAAATTATTAGATGATAAATAGACATTTTTGTAACTGTCACATTAAGAAAATAATGTTTGAAATTATTGTATAATTTTATAAAAAATATAAGCGATCGCGTTAATGCGATATTAAAATATCTATATATGCCTGGTACGGGGATTTGGGACGGGAGCGGGAGCGGCGTACAAGATTTACCTACCACCGTAAAATAACTTGAATGGTGATACCACTTGCAAAAATTCTGGATCCGCCCCTAAAAAGTAACCCCAATATTGTCAACAGTTCGCGATCGCTACTAAATCGCTTAAGTAGTTGATGTATTTTATCCTTAAACGGCCGCGTGAAATTCAAAAGAGTGAAGAAATGGGCGGGGGGGGGGACATAATAAAAGTAATTTGCTGTTTAAGGTTGGATGTAGGGACAACCGTGTAAGTAGTTCGTATAATATCAATATAAAGATCTTCTTCGATAAATTCTTCACCATTTAGAATATGAAAAACTGAAAAAGACATGATTTTCCGGATTAAAATGTTTCGGCTCCCGTTATTAAATTGTTTCCATATACGTACGTATACATTAGAGAGTTACTTCCGGTTAGATTACTGGAGAGAAACTGTCATTGAAGTGGAGGAAGAGAAAATGATAACCTAAACGAGAGCTGTCAGTGATTGTGTAGGTATTGAAACTCTTATTTGTACGGCAAAATGTTCCACAGAAAAAGGATTTAAAGATTATTTAGCTATTCAAATTCGGTCACCCTAATGAGTGTCCTCAGAGTAATGAGTGTCCTCGGAGGTTTTTGCGAGAGTTCGTTATAAGATTTTTTTCTTCTGATTCTTAAATATTGTTCACTTATCTAGGTGTGTGCAAAATTTAAGTTCGATCGTTACAGTAGAAAGTACCGAAATACGTCGGTAAATACTATTTTCACGAGGTTGGATTGAGTGTCCGCGGAGGAATGAGTGTCCAGGTAAGTGTTCGCGAGCCCGAGAATTCGTTAATCAATATTTTGTACTTCTGTCTTCTGATTCATAAATATATTCCACTTATTTAACTTTGTGCAAAATATCAGGTTGACCATAACAGTAGAATGTACCGAAATACGTCGATAACTACTATTTTCACGAGGGTGGGTTGAGTGTCAACGGAGGAATGAGTGTCCAGGCAAGTGTTCGCGCGCCCAGGAATTAATCGACATTTTTTACTTCTGTTTTCTGATTCATGAATATTTTCCGCTTACTTAACTGTGTGCAAAATATCAAGTCGATCATAACAGTAGAATGTATCGAAATTTATCGTTAAGTGTATGCCTACGATAACAGTTAAGAGTTGTACATGTAGTTATATACGAGTTACTTCCCTTCCAAAGCATTCTCTGCCTATTTTGATAGTAACGGAGCCGTTACTGAAGGTATTTGATTTTGTAATACTTGTTATGGATGGATGGATGACGGGTTTCGCGCCTGCATGAATCCGCCCTTACGGGTTTCATCTCACTGACGGACGTCAGTGTTCAGTCGGCGTAATACTTGTTATTTTCGTGATATATTTATATACATAGTACTTACAACAATGTGTAATCAAATGTCTGTTGCTGTATAATATGTATCAAGTTGGTCCGGCCCCCTAGTAGTTCCGGCCCCTACCCGGTTCGTCCTTAGTCGTTGCGGTCCCTTAGTCGTTCCGGCCCCTTAGTCGTTCCGGCCTCACTATAGTGTTTTCCTTCACATATATTACCATTGAACTATGTTTGATGCATGGATCGAATGTTTACATAAATTTGGATGTAACAGTTTTACATTTTGCATTGTGTTACTTGTACAAGTCAGGGACAGTATATAGAGGGGATTGGCAACACTGCCCCAGTCAAGATTCTATAGCACGTCGCTTTTGTGTTTGTTCACCGAACCGGAAAGTCATCGAGAGCCCCTCTCGATCAGCCCGCGCTTGCGCACTAGCGTTAAAATTAAGCACGCACCTGCTTTCGGTGTCATGTCAACAATCTCGCCGAGATCGAAGTGTTTTGATAACGATTAGCCCTAATTGGGACTGTGTATTAGTAGGTCTTCTTTTTATTCCAGGGACAGGGCTATCGTTGCCACTATGTCTAGCCTTGCGGCTGTGTTGATGGCTATTACAACAAATTGCATTTCGTAAAGCACGCTCCAGTGAAAATAATGCTAATATTGACACTTTTTGACACAAAAACAGCACAAGTTATTTGTTATTTTTTGCCATAAAAATTAGAACTACATATCAAAAAATTATTCAACTTTCTATCGCTGTAAATTTCAAAAAGAAGTATTTTTTAAATGAGCTTATCCTCGAATGCAGGCGATACTTTTTTGTTTCGTTTAACATTTCCGGTTGTTTACCGTTTTTAACAACATGTGTCCTTCGTTATCAGACGGGTAATTTCATCTGTGACATCGCTATCGTTCCAAATAATGCAAATAAAATCAGGCCTACTTAACATAGAAATTACTCGGCTGTTTATTGATATTAATTGTTTTAAAAAATACAAACGATAGTTTATAAAATTAATCAAAACAGTGATCAGTTACCAACTACTTCCGCCATGATTTACGTTCCAGTGAAAAATATTGCTGATATTTACACTTTTTGACACAAAAATAACACAAGTTCAATTGTATAATTTGCAATTAAAATGGGTTGGGTCGTTATAAAAGTTATTCAGCTTTCTATTGCTGCTAATTTAAAAAAGATCGGTCAAACACTTTTGGAGGGAGGTGGTTCACATACATGTGGGTTTTTTTATCCCGCATTTTTGTTTACGGTTTTTAACAACACGTGTCCTTCGTTACCAGACGAGTAATTTTATCTGTGACATCGCTATAGTTCCAAGAAATGCAAATCAAATCAGGCCTACTTAACATAGAAATTACTCAGCTGTTAATTGATATTAATTGTTTTAAAAAATATTATCGATAGTTTATAAAATTTAATCAGAACAGTGAGCAGTCACCAACTACTTTCGCAATAATGATTTACGTTCCAGTGAAAAATAATGCTGATGTTTAGTCTTTTTGACACAAAAATAACACAAGTTAAATTATGTTATTTGCAATCAAATTGGGTTGGGTCGTTATAAAATTTATTCAGCTTTCTATTGCGGCTAATTTAAAAAAGATCGGTCAAATACTTTTTGAGTGAGGTGGTTCACATACATGTGGGGTTTTTTATCGCGCATTTTTGTCTGTCGACGCCCACCACAATACTCTGAACCACGCGTTTAAAAATAGAAAAATATACCCCAAAAACGAAACATCAATTACTATGATACCACAGATTTTATCAATTAAAAGTAACACAATCAGCTTATAACAATGGGATAAGCAAAAGACGTAAGAACACTTATCGAGATTGGTTTGTTTTCACACCAACTTCTGCATCTAACAAAGCGGTATCGACGCCATCTTGCTTTGTCAAAATTGAGATAGGTGGCGCTCGCTATCTGCTCCGGAATGAGGGGGAGGTAAGTCTAGATTGACGTGTCATAAAATTGGTAAGGCAGAGAGGGAGTTGCTAATCCCCTTCACTATACGTCCCTGTACAAGTGTACGGGTTAAAAACACAAGAAAAAAACCATGATACATTATGTAATATTTAATGCAAACAACAATACAGAAGACGGGAGTTTAAATACTTATATCTAAAATATATACTTAATGACAAAATATATCTAACAATTATAACTAACATATACATTATAATTATAACTAATATATATATAATGGTAATAGTCATTACTTAATGGTAATAGTTTAGTTGAGAGCATACAAATTTGCATCTTCACACTTGGAAGATCGATTTTAACAAGATGTGATGACAAAAAAAATCAACGTCTTTCATCAACTAAAAGTAAAAACAACGTCGGTAGACCACGGAATTAGATAAGACTATACACCCATGGTGTTTACACAGCGTTTGCTAGAAGCCATACAGTTTCCCAACGCACGAAGTAATAAGATAAACAAAAGACCGTGATTGTAATGTGTCTTAAATAGCAATCTTACTCCGTATGTTTACACAGGTGTTTTTTGTTTTAGACAACATGTAAAATGAAAAGACAACAAATGTACAATGTGAAGTATTTTTTAATTTTTGATTTTATTTCTTTGAATGAGTAACATGAATTATCTATTATATAAATAAATTTTATTTAAAATTTAATTCCAAATAAACATGAATCATATATATAATATATGAGGCCGTAACGACTAAGAATACAGGGCTGGACCGGGTAGGGGCCGGAACTATACTAAGGTCGGAACGACTATGGACGGAACAGCTCGATGGCCGGAACAACCTGTATACGTATAATACACCTACGACCATCAATGTATATATTTTTTGGTTTCAACAAATGTTATTGTGTTAACATATACAAGTCTTCTCCTGAACCGGTACAACATACATGTATATACATGTACACGGAATAATAAGGTATATTTACAAAATTGTTGATAATTAATTACTGATTGAGATTATTGACATATTTCACAGAAATCAAGCCTGAAATAAGAACAATTCGGAAAGAAAAAAACCCAAGAACAACTGCCATCTTGAATAAGGTTGTCAGTAAATTTATAGAAGTTTAAGTCACTTGCTTTGTGCCTGATTTGACAAGTATTGTATTAAAATTACTAGGATTGCACTGTTTAATGATCAAAGATTAAAGATCTTATACCTTAGAATTAATTTATGTTTATGACGTCTTTAATTTAAAGTTTCCATATTTACCTCAGGATATAGTTTTCGATGAGATATGTCCCACTTTTTAACCCCGATATAATTTCCATAGCTATCCAATGGTACAGTCATTCCAGATAATATCACCATACCCAAAGCACAGGTCTTATATAACAATAAAATAACGTTTCCAATGATTTACTATCGATTTTATATTTTTAAGCATTCTCAATATGTTGAGTCTAATACAAGTTTTACTAAAAATAACATGAATCTCAAAAGTAACCCTAAATATTTTATGGCTTATTTCATCAGGTAATAATTTATGATTAGAGACAAGGGGTGTGCTTTCTATTCCTTCTATACACTGTAAAACGTATATACGTATTCAGATTGGAGGGAGGACATATTAATTATATATATGTCAATAAATATTAACAAGATAATTGTAAATCATTTATTACGATTAGTCACGTCATTGCAAGGGACTTTTCAAAGAATATCTTTAATTTGTATGGTCATTTTATATTGTTGGGTTGGGGAAGCGTGTTTTCGAGACATTCAATGACACTTTCTTTGAAAATTGTGTGGCCCTAAAAAGGGCCGTTTTAATCTGAGTAGTTTCCTACTTCATCTGACTGCATTACAGGGCTAGCTTCAGTTGTCATGCGTAATGGGACTCCAATTAATGCAATGTCTGTGTTAGGTGGACGCCGTCCTTGAATGCAGCAGCTGTGAGGTGTTGTATTCTGGTTCGTCGTATTTCATATTTCTCTGGTGATGTATGCCGCGGTCTGTATCGCAGGCTACCAACTATCACCCGGCATACTTTCTCTACAAACATAGCGACAACGTCACCTATGTCGCTGACAATGTCATCTGGGTCTGATGTGGGGCCGATGTCGTTTCCTCCAATCTGTAGGAACACCCGGTCGACATCAAGATCACGGATCTTCTTCGATAGTAGAAGTATCCTGGTTGTTGCCCCACGGATTCCTATCAGCTGGACATCGTCGGATTGCAGGAGAGAGTTTCCAGCCATCCTGGCAATGAAGCTGTGTCCAACGATTGCGAAACGCATGATGATGTTTACAGGTTTACTTGTTGATTTACTTGAAAGAGAGAGTTGTGTCGTGTTGTTCGCGGGAAAGTCTTATCACAACATAATTACCGTTTGTATTGTCCATACAGACACGGGCACGAGACAGTAATTATCCTATTATAATTATCTATCACCTTGCCCTAGTAAACAAACGGCGTGTCCCGTGTATACCCACGCAGGGTAGGTTCACCGCCCAGGTGTTATATAGGCCCACACATTTATTGTCAGGTGTTAATATTTTATTGTTTATTAGCTTTAAGCCTTGCGGCTCATAGGCATATTATAACAAAATTTATACAATGATATCAATGACATAGAATAATCCTATAGAATAATATGGATATGAATATTCTAGGCAATTACCCTTATAAAATGAAGAATAGGCAGTATATGTATGGCATAATGCGATGACATTATACTATTTAAATATATCTTTAAAGTTGAAAATGGATAGTAAATATGATATGTCATTATAATTAGCAGGGGTGCACTAAAAAAACATATTTTAAGATAAGGTTAATAATCATTTTGGTAACTTGACCGTGTTGTCAGGATTGATTATAAATGGACAATATATAGTAAATCACTTTAAACCGAGTGGGAGATATTCAATATCTTGTACAAACTTGAAATAAGTTAATAATTGTACATTATACTAAGGAATGCTGCATGTAGTTCAAAATATATACATAATAGTCATCAACGAGTTTTACATTCGAGCCTTTCATACAAAAATTAATATCCTTGGCGCACAAAGACTCACTCAGCGTAACTCAGTACCAATTCAATTTAATTCAATTTATAACCAAATGCACATTGCATTTAGGCACATAGAAATATACATATTGATCAATACTTCACAATTTGGCAATAGTATGAATGTATACATGTATAGTTTTCCATGTTTGATAGGATTTAATAGGATATTAATAGATGCAGGCATTGCTGCCTCTATATCCACATCAATATAATTTGAAAAACAATGTGGTCAACAGAAAATAAACGGTAAAACCATGCATATAAATATAAGATGCTGTATGATCATGCTTCAACTCAAGATCTTTCAAGAATTCATCCTTTTTTTTCTCAAAGTCAAATATGTTACGAGATAAAATATTATCTTGTGGGAAACTGTTCCATATATCATGTTTAGTAATATGATAAGATTACCAGGATTACTTTTCATTGCATTTTTAGCTCACCTGGCTCGAAGGGCCTAGTTTTAGTGAGCTTATGCCGTGTTGCGGCGTCCGGCATCCGTCCGGCATCCAGCGTCTATATTTTACTTTAAAACAACCAAAAGGCCTAAGGCGATGATATTTGGCTAGTAGCATGCTGGAATGAAGAGCTACCAAGTTTGTTCAAATGAATGACCTTCACTCATATTCAAGATCACAGGGGTCAAATATGTTAAAAACTTTAAGCAACTTCTCCTGAATAACCAAAATGCCCAGGGTGATGATATTTGGTCAGTAGCATGCTAAGATGAAGAGCTACCAAATTTGTTCAAATTAATGACCTTCACCCTTATTCAAGGTCACAGGGGTCAAAAATAGTAAACATTTTAAACGACTTCTTCTGAATAACCAAAATGCACAGGATGATGATATTTGGCCTGAGTAGCATGCTAGGATAAAGGGCTACAAAGTTTGTTCAAATGAATGACCTTGAATTATATTCAAGGTCACAGGAGTCAAATAATAATAAACATTTAAATGACTTAATCTCAATAAACAAAATGATAGGGTGGTGATACAGTTGTGTGACAGCACAACGCACCAAAAATACTGTGCCCACACCGTGCATACATCGTTCACACACCGTCCGCACATCGTGTACACATGGTGCGCACAACTGTGCGTTTTAACAATCGTTCGCCCCGTTGTGCACTTTTCTCCTTACAACTGTGCGATTTGGTAGAATTTGTTGATCAATATTACGGAATGCAAAAAATACAGAAGGCTATTATGCAATAATGTACACTGTATATATTACTGTAATTCTCATCACAATAATTAAGATTATGTACAATTTTACAAACCGTGTTACACAGTGTTACAGTGACTGTTAGACTGTCAAGAAAGGGTTTAGCTTCTAGGTAACAGAACAGGTAAATAACAATTTGATTAGTGACTGGAGTTTTACCTGGCCTGTCCCTGACACATAGAGCTGAAAACACAACTGGACGTTAAGTATTTGTTATTTGCATTCGTGTTGGTCTATAGCTCCCTTTCACCTGGTTTTCACACCTAGGCTAGTTACGTAAGTGCCCCGGGCGGGGGATAACTACGGTCTAGGTACAGGTACAAAGTGGCTATGTTTACCTGTATTGCCGAGACTGTGTTGTAATTTTACATGTGTCAATATAGGTTGTTTAAAAAACACCGAAAACACCATTTCTAAATGTAAGAAAATATAGACAGAAAGATAAGCTTATAGATGTAGCTAGAATATAGAAATATACATAAAAATCAAGTTTATATATATGTTTAAACACGAAACCGTATATATTGTTAAGGCATTCCTCAATTTACACCAACCACGATTGTTATCGCACAACATTCACCTATTGTCCGCTCAAATGTGCGCAAGCAATGATCGTCTAATTTTGTATCGTTCGCACTTCCTGCACACATTGTTCACACACTGTGCGCACATCGTGTAACGTTGTGCGATCCCACAACTGTATTTTCAAGTTTCATCATGAGATGAAGCTATTAAATTTGTTCCAATGTAATGGCCTAATGTTTGAATTTCAAGGTCACAGGGGTGAAAAGTTTTTTTTTTAACAGGTTGTTTTGAACGACTTATAGTCAGAAATACTATTATTTTGCCGTTAGCTTTATTTTATATCATTTTTAAGGTTACAACTGTGAGATTAATACCAGGTAAGCGATGCAGGCCCATTGGGCCTCTTGTTTTTATATTTCAATTGAGTTTATGAGCAATGTTCAAGAAGTAGGCAGATGAAATTGGCTCAAAATGCATTAAACTATAAATATTGTAAAATAAAAAAATGCTGCATCATATATACATCGAAAGTGTTCCATTTTGGGTACCGTTCCATTTTTGGTACTCTAACCACAGGCCCCTTTCGTGTATCCGGTTCAACCAGTTAAAACGATTGAACCTGAAAGAAAACAACAGGCACAGATCTGAACCGACTGAGACTGAAATACTAGATAATAAGGTCAATCCCTATTATGTTTTAAGATACGTTATATACGTAATTTTCCATCGAAAGAAGCTAGAACATATTATTCTTGATATATTGATATTTATTCTCCAAAACCAGAATGTTTAGCTCTGTCTACAGCTCGGGCCAAGTGCGTTTGTTTATGGTGGAATATACTTCAGCCCGGATAAGTGAATGCAACCGTAGATTGTTGTCCCTGTTAAGCCCTAACATTACTTTTAGGGTGAAACATTTAAGGCTTGACTACAGTCTCCTTCCAAGTTTTCTTAGTCTTCCTTGGTCTTTTTCACCCTAAATCCTGTTTGCCCTGGGTCCAAAAATCTATGACCATGGATGTTAAAGATAAAGACTAACTGATTCAATATGAGACACCAAGCAACTACAGCAGATGCTTTTCTTTTACAAGTGGCCATATGCATGGAAATACAATTCTATTTATTACAAAGTACGTTTATAATAAAATATATTTATCTCCTTGAAATTGTTGTAGAAGATTTGTGTGGAGTTGACGACTTGCCTCAGAATGATGACAGCTAGACTACCGAAGGCAGTAATGTTGTGTTGGCGACGTTGCTATGGGATGTGTATCATAAAACCAAAGACTGATGTGCGTACGTTTACAAGACCAGTTTGCACTTCTAGGATTTTTGAAATACAGTCTTCAGAAACAAGACCATTTCAAGTGAATTCACAGTTAAAGCACTGCATAAACTGCTGGAAAAATATGAATTTCGGTTCGAGATGTTCAAATGTTATGTCATTTTGTTGGAGAATCAATGACAAGAATAGGACTTTATTTAAAAATGTACATCGTGGTCTATCGCAACAGAATCATAGACATTTTAGTACCACAACTGAAGTGGACCATTACAGTGTTGAAGTTCTCTACAATGGTCTACGTCACCATGACCGAGGCTGTCTGGCTCGTGCCATCACATTGGTGGAGTCTAAAAACCAAACTAAGAAGTTACAGGCCCAAGTACTCTTGAATCGTATCCTACAGGTAGAAAAAACAAAGAAGGCAACTGCACCTACATCTTTCAGAATAGGTAAGTATAATAAGTCATCAAATCTTTAAAGAGGAATATATTCTCATTTCTTGATTAAAGACTCAAAAAAAAGGAGGTTTTATCAGTTTGTCAAATATTTTATACTGAACATTCAATAAATAGTACCTATATAGCAATATCCTTTACACTCTCAATACTCCAGGGGTTTCACTTACTTACATCAATGAATATAACAAAATCAAAGGCACCAAGAAAGCCATTTGATTGAATTGGTTTCTGGATGGATACCTGTCTTTGAAGATTTCAGATGAGCAACACCTGATTCTTAGCATGTCATTTAAACTGCTCTAGATCTGCTACTAATGTACTTCTATCATCCACAGGATGGAGCCTTCAATTTTATAATGATATATTCTAGGGATGCATTTGTATTAATTTAGACAACTTTTTCAAGAATTTTTCCTGTTATTTAAATATGATAGAAAAACATAAAGAAAAAACTAATGAAATGTTTCCCAATAAACAATAAGATATTTTCCTTATTCAAGTTGTTTTCATCATGAATGAAACAATTATCCCTTCTTCATTGATTGTCATACTATGGAACATATCTGTTGTGCAGGTTTGTCTGGCCCTCCCGGAGCAGGTAAAAGTACCTTTATTGAAGTATTCGGAAGCTATCTAACGAGTCAAGGGCACAGGGTAGCAGTGTTGGCTGTGGACCCTTCATCATTACAGACTGGAGGTGAGAGGCTTGATGCCTATCGCTGTAGATCTAGATACCATGGGGGGTGAGAGGCTTGATGCCTATAGCTGTAGATGCCACCATTGAGGTTAGAGGCTCTATGCCTATAGCTGTAGATGCCATGGAGGTGAGAGGCTTGACGCCTATAGCTGTAGATAACACGGAGGGGAGAGGCTGTATGCCTATATATAGCTGTAGATGCCATGGAAGTTAGAGGCTGCATGCCTATATCTGTAGATACCATGGAGGTGAGAGGCTTGATGCCTATATATAGCTGTAGATCTAGATACTATGGGGGGTGAGAGGCTTGACGCCTATAGCTGTAGATAACACGGAGGTGAGAGGCTGTATGCCTATAGCTGTAGATAACACGGAGGTGAGAGGCTTTACGCCTATAGCTGTAGATAACACGGAGGTGAGAGTCTTGATGCCTATAGCTGTAGATAACACGGAGGTGAGAGTCTGTATGCCTATATATAGCTGTAGATGCCATGGAAGTTAGAGGCTTGATGCCTATAGCTGTAGATAACATGGAGGTGAGAGGCTTGATGCCTATAGCTGTAGATAACATGGAGGTGAGAGGCTTGATGCCTATAGCTGTAGATAACACGGAGGTGAGAGGCTGTATGCCTATATATAGCTGTAGATGCCATGGAAGTACGAGGCTGCATGCCTATAGCTGTAGATACCATGGAGGTGAGAGGCTGCATGCCTATAGCTGTTGATACCCATGGAGGCGAGGGGCTGCATGCCTATAGCTGTAGATGCCATGGAGGTTAGAGGCTTGGTGCCTATAGCTGTAGATGCCACCATGTAGGTGAGAGGCTTGATGCCTATAGCTGTTGATAACACGGAGGTGAGAGGCTGTATGCCTATAGCTGTAGATAACACGGGGGGAGGGTCTGTATGCCTATATATAGCTGTAGATGCCATGGAGGTGAGAGGCTTGATGCCTATATATAGCTGTAGATAACATGGAGGTTAGAGGCTTGATGCCTATAGCTGTAGATGCCACCATGGAGGTGAGAGGCTTGATGCCTATAGCTGTAGATAACACGGAGGTGAGAGTCTGTATGCCTATATATAGCTGTAGATGCCATGGAAGTTAGAGGCTGCATTTCTATAGCTGTAGATACCATGGAGGTGAGAGGCTTGATGCCTATATATAGCTGTTGATGCCATGGAGGTTAGAGGCTTGATGCCTATAGCTGTAGATGCCACCATGGAGGTGAGAGGCTTGATGCCTATAGCTGTAGATGCCATGGAGGTTAGAGGCTACATACCTTTATCTGTAGATACCATGGAGGTGAGAGGCTGCATGCCTATAGCTGTAGATACCATGGTTGTGAGAGGCTTGATGCCTATAGCTGTAGATGTCATGGATGTGAGAGGCTTGGTGCCTTTAGCTGTAGATAACATGGAGGTGAGAGGCTTGATGCCTATAGCTGTAGATGTCATGGATGTGAGAGGCTTGATGCCTTTAGCTGTAGATGCCATGGAGGTTAGAGGCTTGATGCCTTTAGCTGTAGATAACATGGAGGTGAGAGGCTTGATGCCTATACCTGTAGATAACATGGAGGTGAGAGGCTATATGCCTATAGCTGTAGATACCATGAAGGTGAGAGGCTTGATGCCTATAGCTGTAGATAACATGGAGGTGAGAGGCTATATGCCTTTAGCTGTAGATACCATGAAGGGCTTGATGCCCATAGATGTAGATACCATGGAGGTGAGAGTTAGAGGCTACATGCCTTTATCTGTAGATACCATGGAGGTGAGAGGCTGTAGATAACATGGAGGTGAGAGGCTGCATGCCTATAGCTGTAGATACCATGGTTGTGAGAAGCTGCATGCCTATAGCTATAGATAACACGGAGGTGAGAGGCTTGATGCCTATAGCTGTAGATAACATAAAGGTGAGAGGATTGATGCCTATAGCTGTAGATAACATGGAGGTGAGAGGCTTGATGCCTATAGCTTTAGATACCATGGAGGTGAGAGGCTATATGCCTATAGCTGTAGATAGCATGAAGGTGAGAGGCTTGATGCCTATAGCTGTAGATAACATGGTGGTGAGAGGCTTGATGCCTATCGCTGTAGATACCACGGAGGTGAGAGGCTTGATGCTTATAGCTGTAGATAACATGGAGGTGAGAGGCTGTATGCCTATAGCTGTAGATAACATGGAGGTGAGAGGCTTGATGCCCATAGATGTAGATACCATGGAGATGAGAGGCTTGATGCCTATAGCTGTAGATAACATGGAGGTGAGAGGCTTGATGCCCATAGATGTAGATACCATGGAGGTGAGAGGCTTGATGCCTATAGCTGTAGATAACATGGAGGTGAGAAGCTGTATGCCTATATTTGTAGATATCATGGAGGTGAGAGGCTGTATGCCTATATAGCTGTAGATACCATAGAGGTGATACCATGGAGGTGTGAGGCTGCATGCCTATAGCTGTGGATACCATGGAGGCAAGAGGCTGCAGGCCTATAGCTGTAGACTATGGAGGTGAAAGGCTGCATGCCTATAGCTGTAGATACCATAGAGGTGAGAGGCTGAATGCCTATAGCTGTAGATACCATGGAGGTGAAAGGCTGCATGCCTATAGCTGTAGATACTATGGAGGTGAGAGGCTGCATGCCTATAGCTGTGGATACCATGGAGGCGAGAGGCTGCATGCCTATAGCTGTAGGTACCATGGAGGTGAAAGGCTGCATGCCTATAGCTGAAGATACCATGGAGGTGAGAGGCTGCATGCCTATAGCTGTTGATACCCATGGAGGCGAGGGGCTGCATGCCTATAGCTGTTGATACCATGGAGACGAGGGGCTGCATGCCTATAGCTGCAGATGCCATGGAGGCGAGAGGCTGCATGCCTATAGCTGTAGGTACCATGGAGGTGAAAGGCTGCATGCCTATAGCTGAAGATACCATGGAGGTGAGAGGCTGCATGCCTATAGCTGTTGATACCCATGGAGGCGAGGGGCTGCATGCCTATAGCTGTTGATACCATGGAGGCGAGGGGCTGCATGCCTATAGCTGTAGATGCCATGGAGGCGAGGGGCTGCATGCCTATAGCTGTAGGTACCATGGAGGTGAAAGGCTGTATGCCTATATATAGCTTTAGATACCATGGAGGTGAGAGGCTGCATGCCTATAGCTGTTGATACCATGGAGGTGAGAGGCTGCATCCTATAGCTGTTGATACCACGGAGGTGAGAGGCTGTATGCCTATATATAGCTGTAGATACCATGGAGGTTAGAGGCTGCATGCGTATAGCTGTTGATACCATGGAGGTGAGAGGTTGTATGCCTATAGCTGCTTATTTGCCTGTGTACACTGGATTAAAGACCTTACAGCTATTTTCCCTTGCCTCATTGAAATTGGACAAATTGTGACCTTGACATGTGTCACTATGTCTAACTGCCATAACTTCATTTTTTTCATAAATTTTACAGCAGCATTAGATTACGTAGGATATAATTTTTAATATATAATATTGGATTTAGCTGACATTAAGTAATAACCAGTTTCCTTTGGCATTATCCAGTTTCCTATACGATAGCCATCAACAGTGGTTTCAATTTTTGCAGACGAGGCATAAAATCTTTTTTAAAATTTTGACGAGCCCAATTCACGATTACGATTACTAAGTATGAGTACTAAGAGATATAGAAGGTCCTGTGGTAAGTCTACAGGAAAAGCATATGAGTCCAGTCTCGAAAGTCGCTTCTTCAAATTCACACCAGTTTTTTACTGAACCCCAAAATAAATGCTTAGTCAGAATAACAACGCTCAACCAAAATGAATATATGTATATTGACATACAATTGTACAACATATATGATGTTACCTGGCAGATCCTTGTAGATAAGTCATAACTATTTACATATAGAATATTAATACATTCCTGAGGAATCTGTCAGTCGTTAAGTTTACGTATACCCTGCTTCACAGCTATGACATGTTTATAACATCTGTTTGATGACTAGTTGATTTGGTTGGGTGATTACGATTTTCATGAAATCGTGAATATAATCATAATTTTATGTAGTAAAAGGACAGCTTGGTAATAATATATGTAGCTTATTAAATATGAAAAGGTTGTTAGGTGGTTACACTAGGTTGTTACTAGGTTGTTAGGTGGTTACACTAGGTTGTTAGGTGGTTACACTAGGTTGTTAGGTGGTTACACTAGTCCATGTTATACACCTAAACAAGATCTTCCACTAAACTTTAAAAATTGTTATACAGTACAAAACTGAAAAGGAGAGTCTGGTTGACTTTAATTAGGGCCCCGTATCGGAGATACGGGTGCCCTATAGTAATCACTGTCTGTCCGTCCACAAATTTTGTTCCTGGCTGATAACTTTGGTATTTATTGACCCATGTACATGAAACTTGGTCAAGATGTTCAGTTCACAAAAATACACATTTAGGTAAAAAGTCAAGGTCAGAGGTCAAGGTCATTATGTTCAAAGGTCAGGGTCAAATTTTACATCTTTTTACTGATGAACATTTTGTAATGACATTATGAAGCAAAGTTGATCAGAAGTAAACAAGGAGTCAACTGACCAAAGTTCAAGGTCATCGGGTCAGGGGTCAAGGTCAAATTTTGTAGCTTTTCACTGGTGAACATTTTGCTATGACATAGAGCAAAGTTGTTCGGAATTAAACAAAGAGACACACTGAGGTAAAATGTCGAGATCAAAGGTCAAGGTCATTATATTCAAAGGTCAAGGTCAAATTTTGCACCTTTTCACTAATGATCATTTTGCTATGACATGATGAAGCAAAAATGATCAGAATTAAACAAGGAGTCAACTGACTAAAGGTCAAGGTCATTGGGTCAAAGGTCAAGGTTAAATATTGTATTTTCTCACTGGTGAACATTTTGCTATGACACTTTGAAGCAATGTAGATCAGAATTAAACAAGGAGTCAATTGACCAAAGGTCAGGGTCACTGGGTCAAAGGTGAATGTTACATTTTGTACCTTTTCCTTGATGAACATTTTGTTATGACATTATGAAGCAATGTTGTTCAGAACTTAACACAGAGTCAACTGACCTTACATTGTAGGTCCAGGTTACGGGATTCAAAGGGTCAAGGTCAAGTTTTGTATTTTCACTGATGAACATTTTGTTATGATATTTAAGAAGCAAAGTTGGTCGGAGTTAAAGAATAAGTTAACTGACCAAAGATCAGGGTCACTGGGTTAATGGTCAAGGTCATTTGGGTCTAAAGGTCAAAGACAAAGTGGATCTCTGACTTTGACCCTGGCTCTTGATGGAGGAGGTATATAAGGTGAAATAAAACAAATCAAAGCTAACAAATGAGTATTGCACCGGTATTTACATTTCTGTTAGCCCAGCAAATATGGAGGTGGAATAAAACAAGACTCGCATCATAGTACATGTAAAATGTATATTTAGCTTCCTTGTGATTCTTTTTGAAGTCCAAATATCAAACGTCAAGCTCAGCTATATGGGCAGATTGCTTCTTAATGATTATGGGGGATATATTGCCACATGACGGGGCCCTTACTGACCTGTCGGTGTTCTAGTTTTTTCCTCTTTTCCTAATACTTTATCTCCGTCTAAAAACGGAGTGAGGAAGTTATTTTTAAAAGATCTTGTTGAGAAATGACAGCTTGAATCTAAAATGATATGAAAAATATCAGATTTCAGCATAAAAAATACTGTATTCCAAATTCAAAATTGTTACATATTCAAGTATTTACTGTGAACACAAGAGATGTAATATTCATATTCCAATTCTGTTTCTTCTTTCAGGTAGTCTCCTTGGGGACAAGACACGGATGCCGGAATTGTCACGGAACATGAATGCTTATGTCCGTCCATCACCTGCACGAGGTATACTTGGAGGTGTAACCAGGACGACTAACGAGGCGGTAATTGTGTGTGAGGCAGCAGGGTATGACATCATTCTCATAGAAACAGTAGGTAAGTGCTGTGTAGTTGTTCATTGTAAATCTCTGTAAAAGTTATGAGTAAAGTTACGCTCGTTATGCTATGATTGTCCAAAAGATTGAAGGAGACGGCAAAGAGATAGGTTGTATCTGCTTTCATGCACATATTGTGATATGTATGTTAAAACAAAACAAAACCATGAAAAAACTTAAAAATGGCAAAATTCATTGAATATGAATTAGTTTTGAAACCTCATAAATGCTTATTATCCAGATTTCATCTTGGCTTTATTTTCCCAGGTGTGGGGCAGTCTGAGTTTGTCGTTGCAGATATGGTTGACATGTTTTGCCTCATCATTCCGCCAGCTGGTGGTGACGAGCTACAAGGTATAAATCATTGTCTACATTTATTTACAAGAAACAATATTCAGTTCTTTTGACGTTCAATATAGTGCATAAAATTGAAGAACATCCATTTATTTTATCAAAATTTCATATTTAGAGTGTGAAAATGTGGGAATTGTTTAGGGAATGTTTTTGTGTATCAGAGGTCTTCTTTAAATCCTCCTAAAAATCATACCGACATAAATGTGGAGTAAAACCTCCATATCAGATTGATCTCCGACATCCTGAGAGTCCAGCTTAATTTTGGTGAATTTATAATTATGTGATTTTCAGACTATTCTGATTTAAAAAACTTATACAGTGTATTGTACATTCTGTAGTACTCTAAACAAAAAATTATTCAAAAAGACCATTCGGCTATAAGGCTGGTGTTGTTCGAAATCAGTGAAAACTTCTGGTCGTTAGGGACAGTTTGTCTCAGTTTTCTTATAGGACATGGGCACTGTTCTCTAGTTTTACTCTAGTTCTAAAAAAGGGATCAGTTCTTTCAATGAAAGTTTCACCAAGCATTGAATGGTTGACATTTTTGTTATTTGAAGGGTGCCATCTTTGATGTATAGGATTAAAACATCATTAATGGCTTTGTTCCGAGTGGAACTTACATAGCAATGGCATATTCAGATAATGCATTTTTTATAAAACACTTACAAGGATTCCATAATTTATCGGTTAAATGAAAGAAAGAATTGATGTAAAGCAGTAGTGTTGTAATTAACAGTTTTGGAGGATTCCATTTATCTATCTTTTAATAAAAGAGGAAAAAAACAAACAATAATGCATTTTTTTAAGTCCCTGTTCGAAGGGGGCAGTTATCTACAGGTACAGTTGGTCACTAACAGAGGGTTGGGGGAGATATATCACTATTCCCACTTACTGTTCCCGCACTAGTACAGGCGTAAATCTCTATAAGACCAAATACTAATGTGTCAAGTAATGAGTGTTTTCCAAATAGCCAATATATGGGTGTTTTGCTATATATATACAGGTTATATTTATTTTATCAGGTGATTCCAGTGTTTGAGCCTTATTACGGGCAAAGTAATGCTTGTGATACAAACCTTATCGTTCGTCCTGTGTTCATTCAGTATCAGGCTAGCGGGCTATCATCGTTTAGTCACTGTTTCGACACCGTCTGTCATCTGTTTGGTTTCAAAAAAGTTGATACCTGCCCGTAATTATAACTAGCCACGTGATTTTTGTATGTCACAAAATAATGTCTTCATTTCTTTAGGTATAAAGAAAGGGATTGTTGAGATGGCTGATTTGGTCGTTGTCAACAAATCAGACGGAGACTTGGTGGCTGCTGCTCGTCGTATACAAACAGAATACATCAGTGCTTTGAAATTCATGCGACAGAAATCTCCAAACTGGAAACCTACGGTAATTTTGGAATGGCTGAAGATCACTACCCTCCTTCCATTTGTCAAAAACTTACATTGAGATATTTAAAAAAAATAGTCAAATCTTTAAATACCTTGGTATGTCATTAAAAATAAGTGAAAGGGAGACAATCAGGTTATCGCCCTTAATATCAAATCAGTAACGGTCAGAAGCAATGATGAGATCAGTTCAGACCTCTCACAATGATGAGATCAGTTCAGACTTCTCACAATGATGAGATAATTTCAGACCTCTCACAATGATGAGATCAGTTCAGACCTCTCACAATGATGAGATCAGTTTAGACCTCTCTCAATGATGAGATCAGTTCAGACCTCTTACTTTGATGAGATCAGTTCAGACCTCTCACTTTGTTTAAAATTAAATCTGAATTTTAAAGTTTGCCCCTAGGTTCTCCTTTTGATTTTTTCTGTGACTTTTTGCTAAGCAACAATGTCTCTCTTTTTTAAGTAATAAGTTAAGTAAAAGAGGACCCTGTAAAAAACAAATGTCTCTAGTAGACTCAGTTGCCATTGTTGTGGTTGTTTGTTTAATGTAAGGAAAAGTACAGGCCAACATAATCACATGTATTTTTTTTTTGAAAGAAATTTGATGTTTTGTTATTGTTTGTCAATATACATGTCATCTTCCAATCTCCTGATTGGATATATCAATGTCCGGTATATTTATTATAAGGAGAAGATTACGAGGAAGTAATGATTATTTAATTTTTCATGAAAAAAACCCCTTGAAATTGCTTACACTTATGTATTCTGCGCACCCCAAATTTTGGGCATTAAATTTCTAAAAAAAAAGTGCGCAAATTAGACGAGTTTTTACGGTAACCCAAGTGTGATTAGTGTCCTGTTCTGTCTGATTTGTCTTCAAAGGGTCAAAATTAGCCTTGAATTTGACTCTGTGATCTTTAACACTTGCTATAGCTAAGTTTGGTGGTTTGGTGTTATTATTCTTCATAAAACGGAATTCAGAAAATACAAAAACAAAACAGAAGTGTTTTTTAGTGTTGTTAGTTTTAGTGTATGATGACTTATTGACATCTGGTTTCTGTATTCGGAGCATTTGCAAAGGGTCGTCTGTGCTTTTAATCCTTATTTTTACTGAAAAGGGACTTGAAAACTCTTGAAATTCAAAGTAAATTTCCTGTATGAACCTTGTATTCTTTTTACAGGTAAGGAGGGTTTCTTCACTTCATAACGACGGTATTGAGGACCTTTGGACAATGATGGGCACATTCAAAAATGCAATGATAGATTCTAAAGAGTTCTCAAACAAAAGACAGATGCAGAAACGGATTTGGATGTGGAACTACATACGGGACAACATCATGGATTTGTTTCGGTCCCACAAGTCAGTGAAAAGTAAAATTACAGAAGTTGAAAGACAAGTTGTGGATGGTGTAATATCTCCTGGTACAGCAGCGGATTTACTCCTACAGGAATTTATCAAAGACAGTTGATCAGCTGCTGAATATAGTTCATTTGGAAAGTTGAAATGTGATATTTATGCTGTGATATGATTATTATTAAAATATGATGTTTTTTTCTATATTGACTTTTTTCTGTATTTCCAAGAGGCATAAACTCACAATTTAAAAAGGTTTTATATATATAGTCAACGAATGGTGACTAATAAACGTCTGTGAGCCTGAAAAAAGCAGAAGGGCTAGTGGTCAGTCTGGTGTACCTGTTGCTTTATTATTTATATATATATACAGCTACTATTGCTGTCACACAAGTAGACAGACATCGTGTAGATTTTTTACTGATTATCAAAATGTGATTTGCAATGCTTGGAATATGTTTTTGTTTGGTGGTGTTTCTGTACGAACACCCCCCTCATATGACCTTCGTTGTAGCGAGGACATAAATGTTGTTTCTGTACGAACACCCGCCTCATATGACCTTCGTTGTAGCGAGGACATAAATGTTGTTTCTGTACGAACACCCCCCTCATACGACCTTCGTTGTAGCGAGGACATCAATGGTGTTTCTGTACGAACACCCCCCTCATATGACCTTTGTTGTAGTGAGGACATCAATGGTGTTTCTGTACGAACACCCCCCTCATATGACCTTCGTTGTAGCGAGGACATCAATGGTGTATCTGTACGAACACCCCCCTCATATGACCTTTGTTGTAGTGAGGACATTGGATTGGTGATGTTTCTGTACGAACACCCCCCTCATATGACCTTCGTTGTAGCGAGGACATTGAACCGCAAATGCAATTTCTTTCTTATTCAACTCTCATCCAATTGAAATTAAGTTCACATCAAGAGGTCATGAACATATTTTGTTGAGTCTACCTATTCGTAGTTAATGACTTTGTTATACAATATATTCTGACTAGACTAGTCAAAATTATAGACTCGGCCAAATTAACCACAGTACAATATATTCTAACTAGACTAGTCAAAATTATAGACTCGGCCAAATTAACCACAGTTAAAGCATTGTTATACAATATATTCTGACTAGACTAGACAGAATTATAGACTCTGGCTAATTAACCATGTAGTTAAAGCATTGCTATACAATATATTCTGACTAGACTAGACAGAATTATAGACTCTGGTTAATTAACCACAGTTAAAGCATTGTTATACAATATATTCTGACTAGACTAGTCAAAATTATAGATTTCGGCTAATTAACCACAGTTAAAGCATTGTTATACAATATATTCTGACTAGACTAGTCAGAATTATAGACTTTGGTTAATTAACCACAGTTAAAGCATTGTTATACAATATTTTCTGACTAGACTAGACAGAATTATAGACTCGGGTTAATTAACCACAGTTAAAGCATTGTTATGCAATATATTCTGACTAGACTAGACAGAATTATAGACTCGGGCTAATTAACCACAGTTAAAGCATTCCTATGCAGCACAAAATACATATCATATATGTACATGTAAGTGAAAAATGCAAAAGTATCCAATCAAGACATTAAAATTAGTAATGTTTTATATTTTTAATATCAAGTTAATTACATGTTACATTGAATATACCAAATGAAAACAAGTATGACCAAAACATGAATTGAGCTTTGGAATTGTTTTAAGCGTGGCAGATAACCACTTTATAATTTCAGATCTGTTTCCTATTTGGAAATATAAAACAATATGCAGAAGTGAATATGAATAAACTACAACAGTAATGGCATTATTTTATAAGAAAGTACATTGTACAACACTCTCGGGAATTTCAAATTTAACTTTTCGTTTGACTTGAATGGATAGAACTTCGGTAAATTTATAAAAAAAAAAACTGGATATAGCAGGAACGAATTTGAGAATTGTATATGCCTAGGTGAAATAACACATCATATCACAAGTATAAAACAACGGAAAAATGCCGCCATTTTCCTCTTTGACCTGGACTATAATGACATCACCGCATTTTAAGACGTCACAATAATGTCGTTTCACATATATACTAGAAAGTTTTTACATCCAAATTAAAGCTAAATTTAAAATTGCTTTGCAGATCTCTTGAATTCTAAAAGTTAGGAACAATTTTTAATAGGACTTGGTAAAAGATTCCATGTAGGTGGTCTGCGATATCTAAAAGATTTTCTAAATATGTTTGTTTAAAACAAGAAGAACTAGTTTTTCTTGTACATATGAATTGCTTGGTTGTATACAATTCTTTTGTTTGTTACAGGAACGTGTGGAAGACAACAGTTCAAAACAGTTTGGGCTTCTCTCCTTTGCAGACGTTCTAATTTGACAGTACTACTTTTGTTGGTAATGATAATACAGCACGACATAATAGTCGTAATACATGTTCCACATGAGTCTTATCTACATGTAAAGGAATGAAACAAATATACTTAGGATAACGACATAATAGTCGTAATACATATTCCACATGAGTCTTATCTACATGTAAAGGAATGAAACAAGTATACTGAGGATAACGACATGCTATTATTCGCTTCACAATACTACACAAGTTACAGAATATAAACATAATCTGTTACCTTCGCATCTACGAAATAACAATTTTATGATGAAAATAAAGTTGAATAGTGAATTGGCCAGTCAGAGAACACCGTTCACTGCTATGATATACCTTTGAGAGTAACCTCTTGTGACGTTATGATAAATTGGACCGTGTCATTTGACGTGACATTGACGATGAGTGTACCTCAGTAACATGATTGTCCTTTGAAGAAAATGTAACACATAGACTCGTTCTGGTTTCTTGATGAACCAGTACAATTAAAATCTTAATTCATGTGATTAATATTTTTGACTTGGTTTCACACTCATGAAAATATTAACGGATAAATATGATATTTCTCAACGAACAAGTGATATTCTCTCCATAATTTAGAAAAAGGTAGAGCCACGGCAATACTAGTATTAAACGGACAAATATGCAAACATTCTAAAACGAAACGTTTTTTCTAAATAACAGTTTATGATAATATGACAATTTTGATTATTTCTGAATACTAAGTTTGAATTTAACATGCGAGAACAATATCAATTAATTTAATGCAGATATACCTGTTAGTATTGGTAATTATTTTACAATACAAACACCACCACACTTGTATGAAGAGATAGCTCATTGAGCTGATACCTTTTAATTGTTAACATTCTTGATGCACCGATGCATAGTAAACGTATTTCATCTATAGCTTTATTTACGTTCACGAACGTGCATTGTATATAATCACGTATCAACACCGCACTCGAGTAATTTGCGCAGGTAGTACTTTGGAGCCGAACCATGAACTATCCTGAATACGAAAATCAATTATCGTTCAGATAGGTACCCGGTACAGTACATAATTTAGTTTTTATATCTTAGGTTATTTGTTATCCTTAATTTGAACATGTTTCTTCTTTTTCTTTTTCTTCTTTTTCTTGGGTTTGGATTTCGTTTCCGTTCCGGCGTTTGTATCAGATGGAGAAATGAAAAGGTTGTCATCATCCTCAGATTCATATTCATCTTCATCCTGTTCGAACACTGGCTGCGTCATCAGATTGTTACTGGGCGTGTGCATAGCAATGCCACTGGGTTGCCCATGAGTCACGTGACCGTTCGCTACATTGCCGTTCGGATGTAGCTGATTGACTACATCTTTGTAATCGGTTGGTTCCACATAGGTCAGCTCTAGCCTTGGCCGGACTGATCCGTCAAAGGTTGGCGTCCAATGGTGATCTTTCTCTTTTGCTGTAAGAGACAGACACATTTTGAATTATACCATACTGCCACCTGATGTTTACTACAGCTGTTCCGAATTTTTACAAGCCATACGTTATTTAAAACAGATCGTCGAGTCGCCACAAAACACATGTTAATCTAATAAAAACATCACACTTGCACAAAATCTTTGATCGAAGTCTACAGTGTTAACATATACCATATACCATTATTTTGTAGAGTAACCTCCTCTTAGTTCGCTTAACTTTAGTGCGACGTCGACAGGGCCAGGGAATTACCCTTGATCTTCGGTTGGTTAGAGCGACAGTATGTATGAGGTACGGGGTTCGAATTCTGTTATGGTCCTGTGTGATTTTGTAATATTTTATAACACGAAATTATCCTGGGTTCGTTATTTTGTGGGACAAACTTTCGTGATTTGAAGCTATTCAGATTGTTTTGTGGTACAAACTTTCGAGATTTGAAGCTAGGACTAGTAGTTAGCGCCTGATAAGGCAGCTCCTGCGAATTCCTCAATATTGTATTGATTAATATATATATGCTAATTGCAATGACTGTATAAAATTGTATATCTATGTCCGTATAGCGCTTTAGAGTGGCTTATGCCAGCTAGATAGGGCGATATATCAAATGTTGTATATTTATTTATTTATTTATTTATTCAGATCGTTTTGTGGTACAAACTTTCGTGGTTTGAAGATTTTTAGATCGTTTCGTGGATACCAAAAATAAAACAATCCGTTTAATCTAATTTCTTGGTTCCATAGCAACGTGGACTTAAACATTATACAGACATGTTTCTCAGCTTATTCTCATCGAATCTGCTTGCGTATTTACTTTACTTATATATATATGTATTTTACTAATATGTTGTTTTCGCAGTTTACTATATTGAAACGAATGCCGTACATAAATAATCTGAAAAAGCAAACCTGCAAAATATTAGATGAAAAACATACTTCTTATTTTCATGAAAAAAAGTAACAACGGAAATGATAACACGGCTAAATCTTGTGTTTTTCAGGAGATCACCGAATTATTTAAAAAAAGATATGTGCTTTAGTTTTAGTTTTAAACATACTTATAGGGCATTCATCTACTAGGGTCTGCATCTTGGCTCTCTCCTTCATCAATTCTAGCTCTTTCAGGTCTCTGAAGTGTATGGTGATTTCTTTAGACATTTGTCTTTCAAGCGCACCCCTTGGTCCATCCGTGTTGTCATCTTTCCTCGAATGACCTATTGCCGTTGGTGGCTCCGCCTCTGTAGAACGCGGAGGTACTTCCGAGTGGGCTTCCTCCAGCTCTAAATCCCCCAAATCTTCCTTTTCCTTCTGATATGGCATGGCTAAATATAAAAAAAAAGTGAAAATGTTGAAAAATACACCAGTACAAGGTATATAACAATAATAGAATATATATAATAATTTCATAATGGAGAATACCCTAAATAAAAATACTTTCCCAAATACCTGTAGTTGTTGAGTATATCAATTGTAGATACTAGACTCTGGATTTTAGATTTATCATATTCATTGAATAGTCGTGAAATTAATTAGTAGTTATAACATATTTTTTAATACGGATGTACATAATAGGATATTTAATTTATATGTGATTTGAGTATCAGCTGTTATTATTCAATGGAAGATGTCAACAGTAGCACTGCTAAAATAAAAACCTGACATGTCAAAATAGCTAAAGCACAGTATCGATGAACTTGATAAAACTAAACACACATAAACTCAAGGAAATCACACATGGTCAGATCAGACGGAATATTGAGGATAGAACTGACTCGTAATGTACAATGAGGAAGTATAACGATATAGAGTTTTTAGAAATCGTAAGAAATATGGGACCAAATATTCAAATACATTCAAATCGTTTCAACATAAAACGTGTGTCTGTTTATATTACTAAAGGAAATACATATTTGAAGCTTTATATGGTCTGTGTTACTCACTAACACAGTCCAATACTTAAACTGCCGCAAACAGGAACAGGTCTTTTCCTTGTTCATGATATGTATTCATAGTACCTTATATAATCCCATTGGAGGGACACGTATCAAATATGTCAGAATGTGGAGGGTTAGCATAGAGGATTTTGTTTTAGAAAAGGCTCAAACTGAAAACTTATATACCCACCATTGGTACAAGAAGACACGAAATGTATAATGATATGGATCCATGGTAGACTTTTGGGGAAAATTATGATTGCAGATGAAGGGGACAATGCACTCTGATAAAAACGAAATAAAAAAACAGGAATCTGCAAAGGTAAAAATCAAAGACAATGGTTTATTAAAGCATTTCCAATGTTTAATGTATCTCTTCAGAACAGGTTCTGTGGAATTTATAAGGTTTGGCGTAAAACCTTCGACTTGGGCTAAATAGCAGCAAGATTTAGTGCAAGGACAGAGGAGGGGCAGAAAGGGTTTTGTGGAATTTGCAACGGTTTCATAAAAACTGGAAACGGACTTATTAATATAAGTAAGATTCAGTCCAAGCACAGAACGGCTTCTGTCGAATCGGTAAGGTTTGGCGTAAAACATCGGGCGAGGAAACAGTAAATTGAGTTTAAACGGCAAGAAATGCGTTTGAATAATGTTAGATAATAGAGGAGGAAGACATCAAAGGATAAAAGCAATAACTTACCAATTGTCTTTCGGGACATAAATTTGGATTCAACAACCCCGTGTTCGATTAAAATACCCTAAAAACAACAACTTCAAGATGCTTTTTCCTTTTTATTATTTATTTCATATTTTATTCAATGCATTTCTTTGCACAGCCATAGACACAACGAAATACTGCCCAACTAGAGAGCTTTGCAATAAGTTATTCAATATGCGAGGTGACATGACTGTTATCATGAGAGACAACGTGTGTGTGGTGGTTGTTATTGTATGTAAGCTAAGGAACATATCGTACGTGTTACTGAAAGTGTAGCCATTGGAAATAAATATATTGAAGAGATGACAGTTGGTAATCAATTAAACCTCTGATATTGTCTCAATAAAACAGATACCAAATGCTATGCTATATTTACATAACCTACCTACTATCACTATTATTTACACTCGTACTTGTATCATGTTCAAACCTACCTACTATCACTATTATTTACACTCTTACTTGAATCATGTTCAAACCTACCTACTATCACTATTATTTACACTCGTACTTGTATCAGGTTCAAACCGATACAGTTTGTTCAGTTCATCATTGAACTACTTACTTTCGCAGTAAGATATGACCATCGTTAAACTTTGAACTTTCAGTGACAAATATAGATATGGCATTAGATAATTTGCGCGATATTTATACAAAATCAGAAAACTATGCTTTTTCCAGTTGCTGTTTCTATAAATCCTGAATATGAACACACTATGGCAATATTTCATAATAACTATTTGACAATAAGTAGATAAAACGGGATGTAAACAATATGACGGAGCACAAATGATATCATGTACCCCTAGTTACTGATATTTCTTACACGTAAATTATGATTAAGCATATGTTGCAGTGCAATGGTGATCCAGCATTTGTTTGTTCGGATCCAGTGCCAATATAGAATCATACTGTCGTTATTACTTATGAGACCTATATATATATATATACAGAAAAATTCTCAACAACGAGTCTTTAGTACTTCCATCTCTTCCAGGTGATTATATATATATATACGCACGTTGACAAAAGTGTAGCGTCTCTTTTTAAAAGGACAGATATAGTCAGAAAAAAATGTATTACCATTGACTGTTACTGATACGTGTAAGTAACGTGTATTCCCCCGGACTGTTACTGATACGTGTAAGTTCATGTATTCCCCCTGACTGTTTTTAATACTTGTAATTTTTTGTATTCCACCGGACTGTTTTTCAATACTTGTAAGTATAGGTATTACCCCTGACTGTTTCTGATACTTGTATCTTACCTATCACTATGTCTTCTACAATGTACAGATTATCCAATAAGATAAAGGGAGGCACATTGTATGATACGCATTAATCACAAACAAACCGTTTCTTTGATTGTAGATATAACATTCCATTAATAAGATAATGGAATCAGTCGTCCGGACTTTCATCACTATAATTGTTTTGGAAACCAAAATCCGGCATTGTATTCTCCCGTATACGTAGTATCAACCCCTGTATGTCATTCTTATCACCAGGACGAACTTTTCCAGCTCGCTCTTTGTCATTGAAGAATTTAGTGGTGTCAACTTCCTCATCGTCTTCGACTGCATCTACGTTTTGCTTCTTCTTCCTTTTCCTCTTTGGTTTTTCACTGACTTTTGACATCTTTTTAGATTTTTGTTTTTCCTTTTGCTTTACTGTAACATTTCCTGGCTTTTTGTCTTTGTTGCTTTTCTTTGACTTGCTTGTACTCTCTTTTCCTACCCAGGCTGCCTCTGCGTATCCTTGCACTAAAGCAAGGTTTTCCTGAGGTGGAACAGTCAGTGTATGTGTGTTATCCTTAAACGATCCTGGCCTCCGAGGCACTGCAATGCTATCTGATGACAATACAGGTAATCTGAATTCAGGGGCTGAATGTCTTTGTCCTCCCATAAGATTAGGAAGTGAAAGCCCCTTTGGCTTACGATTGACTCGTTTCAGTTTTGTTGGTTTTGTTTTGTTGACAGTGTCTGGTAATTTAGTGGGAGGCGCCTCATCCTTTGTTTCCTTTACAACAGTTTCTTGAATAGACGGAGTAATATAACATGCTTCTAATTTGACGTTTTCCTCTGTTTTATGTTCTTCCGCATCTTGCCCTAGATTAATTAACATTTTTGATGAATCTTTCTTACACGACATAGTTTTGCCGTCCTTATTTTCAAACTCATCTGCAAACATTGATGCGTTTGTTATGCTTGGTAAAAATGAAAACTTTTTCTTTTTTGTCTTTGATCCAGACTTTCGTTCGTGGTTTGTGAGTGTTCGTGCCATATCGGTGTAGGTAAGAAGTACTTGTTTGTCTTTCGTTTCTTCATTATCTGTTTGAGGTGCCCGTACTAACTTGGGTAGTATGTCATTCACAATCTTGTTAGAAAATGATAGCTGTGAAACAAGTTTCTCATCAGATACAGTTGTAACTAGTTCAGTCCTATCGTCATCACGTTTCTCCGTTGGTTGATGTTCCTTCTTTTTCAATGAGTTTCCATTCTCCATTCTCCATTTTCGGTTATGAAATTTGTTTTCCTTCATTTGTTTTTTTCTGTCCTTTTTATCAGATTTATCTATATAGCTTTGTTTACCAATTGATGGCAATATATTTCTCTCAATAGAATAATGTGACCTCTCTCTTTCTAGGTTCGTGACCTTATCTATCATTCTTTCTCGATACATTGGAAATTCCGTTTCTTCAACTGTTGTCATCTCATCTTTTTGTGTCAACCTCACGTGACGAGCGGTAACGACATCGTCTTTTTTCATATCGTCTGCCATATTATGCGGTCGTATCGGATCGGGTTCTATTCGAGGAGATTTTAATTTTGAATCGCTTCCGTCCGTAGTCATTACATCGTTAAGCATATCAACATAAACATTCCTTTTTTTGTTTATTCCATCAAGAATAGGATCTTTCTTTTCGTTGTATGACTGAACACACACAGGGGATTTCTTGCCAGACACACTGTGTGTATCATTGTTGTCGTCAGGTTTATTTGTAATCTCCATAACAGAAGATTTTTCAGTTGGTTTAATCATTGAATCTTTGTATTTTGTGGTTTTATCGTGGATAGCCGTCAAAACGATTTTGACACTTTCCACCGTACCTGCAATAGTTGTTATATGCACATCATTTGTCTTGCTTCCTAAAGAAGTGTCTTCAATGTGACCAGGTGGAACTGTTTCAATATCAGCATTCGGTTCGGCCGAGCTGGAATTACTATAAACACCACTATCTGCCATATCAACATACACATTCCTTTTTTTGTTTATTCCATCAAGAATAGGATCTTTCTTTTCGTTGTCTGACTGAACACACACAGGGGATTTCTTGCCAGACACACTTTGTGTATCATTGTTGTCGTCAGGTTTATTTGTAATCTCCATAACAGAAGATTTTTCAGTTGGTTTAATCATTGAATCTTTGTATTTTGTGGTTTTATCGTGGATGGCCGTCAAATCGAATTTGACACTTTCCACCGTACCTTTAATAGTTGTTATATGCACATCATTTGTCTTGCTTTCTAAAGAAGTGTCTTCAATGTGACCAGGTGGAACTGTTTCAATATCAGCATTCGGTTCGGCCGAGCTGGAATTACTATAAACACCACTATCTGCCACACTTTCCTTTCTTATAAGATCAGAAGTTGTATTGTTCTTGTTAAGGCTATCGTCCTTCGTTTCAACTGCTATTTCCATGACAACTTGTTCGCATTCTTCTTTGATAGATGTCTTGAACACTATTGATTCTTCTTGTTCAGTGGTATTGTGGACAACGTTTTTGTCTTCTTGCTCATCAGTAATCATCTCATTTTTACAAACATTGTTAACGATTGTATTCTCGTATTCAACTACCCTCGATTCTTCATGCGTATTGTCTTGGGATTCAGGTGACAAGTTTTTTATTACTTTTAGCTCCTTTTCGCTTAGGTCATCTTTAATCCTCTCAGTTTCATTGTTTGAAGCGTCATTTTGAGAAATATCGGGAGGATTCGTTTGTTCTGTTTTCTCAACATTTTCTTCTGCAAATCCTATAACAGAGTCTTGAGACACTACCTCGTATTGCATATCAGTCGTATTTTCCTGCGTATTGATTTTGGATGATGTTGACAGATTAAGCTCAGGAGGTTTGCTAGTAATTTTCTGCTGGAGAATATCGGGAGAATTTCTTTGTTCATTTTCCGTGTCCTTCATATTTTCTCGGGACACTTGCGTAACTTTTGAGGATTCAGTTGACAGTTTTTCCTTTTTCTCTCGTTCAGTTTCTTTTCTTGTATCATTATCTGGGGGTAAAAACAAAGCAGGCCATGGAAGCCTTTTCTTTGGAAGAGTCGGCTTCGTAGTCGGTTTTGGTTTCGATTCGGTGTTTGTTTTCTTAGTTACATGCTTCTTCTTTAGATTAGAGACAGTAAAACGTATAGAGGATTGACGATCATTGCGCTTGAGTTGTTGCAAAATACCGTCTTTCTTCCCTTTTAAGGACATGCTTGCATCGGCTGTTTGGTGATTTTGTTTTTTCACAGCAATGACATTCAACTTTGTGTCCTGTAAAAATCCAAAATCATCCTTAGCAGTTTCAACGGGTTCAGTTGTAGATTCCGGTGTTTCATAGCAGGTTGTGTCCGGGTGTAGATCGCCGGGCTCTGATAATAAAAGTGAAGAGCCGATTCAAGGACGGGGCCAAATGAAGGTCATCTGATATAACGTAATTTTCCGTATAAAGAAAAATAATACAGAAAACAAGAAAGCATATTTCAAGAATTAAGATTTTATGAAAGTAAGAAGTAACACTATATCTCATAACACGGTGGTATTTTAAACGAGACACTAGACTTAAAGATAATTTGCGATCAACCTTTCAGTCTTAGATATCAAATTGTTTTTCATAGTCGAAGCAATGTCAAAAATATATAATGCTGTATTATAATTTCTGTAAGTCTGCTCAACAGTTTTACATTAAAATGTGGTGATTAACATTACCCTGATAAATTACAGAAATACTGTAAATATAAAATACACACAAAAAAGAGGTCAACCTGAAGAACAAACCCGGACTAGGACGTGCTTGTTAGAGAGAACGACAATTTATGTATGGTTGCGCTGACGAGGTGGAACGACGTAGGGCATTAAACGTTTAGGAGGCTACGTGGAGGAGCGGATGTCGGAAAACGTCGGGAAATAATCTTGAGACGAATATTTAATAAATAATTGTGTCTCCTACTCAGACGATGACTACTGGTGTAGTGGTTTCCATCAATACCGAGTACGTCTGACAGTCAAATTTGATTCCAAAAAGACGAGTTGAAGATGGGGTTTCCAGGCGTATAGGAAAGGTACGGAAGATAAATTCAGTGTTGTGTCAAATGTTGCGTGCAATTAAAAAAACGGGATAAAAAGGTTGTCGGTTTTGGTAGGTCTGGGTGCATAGGCACAAGGGTTACAGCGGTTTGTCAGGTTGGTAGGGTAACGGACTGGTTTGCTCTTCTTGGAAGGATATCCACACAGGAAGGGCTTAGATGAAGAGTAATAATATATGAAATTATACTTATTTGATTACCCAATACAACTGTATAAACAAACTCACTTACTATACAAGCTGTATTCATCTTTTCTTATTTAACTAATTTCCCCTATTCACGGGAAGAAAAGACAAGTGCATAGAAAGATATTAGAAGAATTAGAAACGTTCATTTGATTAACCGTTAATGTTTCTATTGTACTGGCAAAGAAAGTGGCAATTTTGGTGGTGTCCTTGGTGTTTTGGGCTTTGCATCTTTATCAGCATCCTCCAGGAGAAGCTCATTTCTTCTTGTTTCTTCTAAGGGAGGTAACCTGTTTCTTTGAGAATTGACCTCGATATCTACTGCATCGTGCAGAAGCTTCGCTGTGTTTTCGACAGAGGCACGGAGAGGAACTGCTGTAACAACGCTCTCGGCTCCTGTAGCCTCCCGATCTAAACAAGTAGTGTCAGTGGGGATTTTACTTTCCTCAGCCATACCGGGCAATATTGGTTTAGGATCTTTGGGTTTAACTCCAGTTTTGGAAGGATCTTTGGAGGGTTTTTCGTCAATCAGACGCATACCTGTATCGATTGGAGCCATCCCCGCTGGTTGGATCTTGCTCTTCTTCTTGTAGCAGTAGAAGCAAACTATGAGTAACACAAGCAAAAGCAGCACAAATAACCCAGCAGCGACACCAGCGAACAGGCTTGCTTGTGACACAGATGTTGCTTCCGTCGTCGAAGTAGGAACTGAAACGGAAAAGAAAAGTTAATTACGTTCTTCAATTGAACTGCTTTCAGTTGGCATTCATAGTCAATGTGAATGCTAAATGGAACTTAAACAATTCCATGTCCCAAATTAGCACTTTATGTTGAATTCGTCTCCTATCAGTTGGTATTCATACAAATGCCAACTGAAAGCAGCTCACTATTATATATATTTGCCGTTTTCAATCAAAATTCGGCATTTGGTGCGCGCAAGTGTATGAATCATTTTCAAAGGAGGGTCAGTGGTATCCAAAGTTACAATTATGACGTCAAAATAATGATATCTATTTTATCCTTTGAAGTATTTATATGTATTTTATACAAACATGTGTATGTATATTTTTACTTTACATGTCCTTTATATTATAAAGCGCTCTAGAGCTACTAGCTTCAGCAGAATATAGCACTAAATAAATGGCTATCATTATTATTATATTATCATTTTATAGCTGCATGTGGGTCATGACATTTATAGCCAATATGAATACCAGATGAGCTGAGGCTATATGTTGGCAGTGTCACAGAGTGAGGGGTCTTTATTTTGTCGTAAACAGATCGAACATTGTCCATACATGTATTTTTATATACCTATTTGCGAGAAATCTGAATTCGCATTTGAGATTTCTTTTGGAATCGGTGTTACTGCAGGCAAAATCAGTTAAAGTGGCGTAAGATGTCATTATGAATTACAAATTTTATCAACACATATGTCAGTACAATACTAAACACATAACAAAAGTAATGCACTGTTTTTTGTATGGATAATTTAACCATCGCAAGAATGAAGTTTAACATCTTGGTAAAACTGTGTCCATATCTAGTGACTCTTTTGTGTGACGTAAAATGTAATATTTCATCAGGTCTCTACAAAAAATCTTAGGACAAGGTTTGCAAGTTGCTGAACTCCTGTCCATTATAGCATTTAATCCAATTGCACATACTTATTATCTGAGGAAAAACAATTCATACAGAGCTTATAAATGTGAAATTATCACATTTTGACATTGTGTGTTTTATTATGTAACGAATCCATATGTAGTGGAAACAAGGCTTCCGCATCGCGAACTCGGGAGATATTTTGTAAGAGTCACGCGATGTGTTTAAACCTATTTGCTGGGTCTAATTTTCTGTCTATTTTGAGTGTGTTAATTGTTTTAGTGTTTTTAGTTTTGGCGCGTTGTGGTCAGGAAAGAGAGTGCAGTCACAGAGAGTAGACATGGCTGTTTTTCTATCTAGGATTTGGAGAAGTTCGTAATTGAGGGATCTGGGAAAGAAAATAACTATCATACAAGTACTTCTATCAAGAAATTAGTTTGGTATGGTATTGATCAGGATAATAGTAATACTGAAATTAGTTTTTTTTCTTAAGTAATTGAATTATAGTATATTTGAAATTTTCCGGTGTAGACCATTTCTGGTAAAATTATTCTTTCAAAATATATTCATATACAATGTAAGTGATGCTACTGAACAATGCTTTATATGTGTTATTTTTGTTTGTGTATGATATAGATTACATTGACTTAAACCAAAGATCATGAAACTCACAAGCAGTTGTTGTCTGATAACCCTATGAATGTGGAGGGTTTTTTACGGTTATTCTGGTGGTCATTCTAAACCTTTGGAGTTGTGTGCTATTTATACGAGATATACCGCGTCTGTGTTATTTGAACCTGTGTTAAGAGACCATCTACAAACGCATACCACTTTATGGGTTTCCCTAACATACCACTTTATGGGTTTCCCTAACATACCAGTTTATGGGCTTCCCTAACATACCACTTTATGGGCTTCCCTAACATACTACTTTATGGGCTTCCCTAACATACCAGTTTATGGGCTTTCCTAACATACCACGCTATGGGCTTCCCTAACATACCACTTTATGGGCTTCCCTAACATACCTCTTTATGGGCTTCCCTAACATACCACTTTAAGGGTTTCCCTAACATACCACTTTGTGGGTTTCCCTAACATACCACTTTGTGGGCTTCCCTAACATACCACTTTATGGGCTTCCCTAACATACCACTTAATGGGCTTCCCTAACATACCACTTTTTGGGCTTCCCTAACATACCACATTATGGGCTTCCCTAACATACCACTTTATGGGCTTCCCTAACATACCACTTCATGGATTTTCCTAACATACCCTAACATACCACTTTATGGGCTTCCCTAACATACCACTTTATGGGATTCCCTAACATACCACTTTATGGGCTTCCCTAGCATACTATTTTATGGGCTTCCCTAACAAACCACTTTATGGGCTCCCTAACATACCACTTTATGGGCTTCCCTAACATACCACTTTATGGGCTTCCCTAACATACCACTGAATACAGGTTTGACTACCCATTCGTAATGAACAAAATAACATTATCATATTAGACAGCGTATATAAAGTTATATACTGTATGGAAAACAAAGGAAAGGTTCGAGACCATTGCAGAGCACTGAATACTGTTACAACTTGACGCAACAATAACATTGAAAATTATAAGAAGTGTGATATCAGTTAGAAACGTTTGATAAGTGTGAGATCAGCTAGAAACAGTTGATAAGTGTAAGATCAGCTAGAAACGTTTGATAAGTGTGAGATCAGCTAGTAACAGTTGATAAGTGTGAGATCAGTTAGAAACGTTTGATAAGTGTGAGATCAGCTAGAAACGTTTGATAAGTGTGAGATCAGCTAGAAACATTTGATAAGTGTGAGATCAGCTAGAAACGGCTGATAAGTGTGAGATAAGCTAGAAACGTTTGTTAAGTGTGAGATCAGCCAGAAACGGTTGATAAGCGTGAGATCAGTTACAAACGTTTGATAAGTGAGAGATCAGGTAGTAAAAGTTGATAAGTGTGAGATTAGTTAGAAACGTTTGATATGTGTGAGATCAGTTACAAACGTTTGATAAGTGTGCGATCAGCTAGTAACAGGTGATAAGTGTGAGATCCGCTAGTAACAGTTGAGAAATACAAGACCAATTAGAAACGTTTGATATGTGTGAGATCAGTTAGTAACAGTTGATAAGTGAGAGATCAGGTAGTAAAAGTTGATAAGTGTGAGCTCACCTAGTAACAGTTGATAAGTGGGAGATCAGCTAGAAACATTTGATAAGTGTGAGTTCAGCTAGAAACGTTTGGTGAGTGTGAGATCAGCTAGAAGCTTTTGATAAGAGTGAGATCAGATAGTAACAGTTGATAAGTGGGAGATCAGCTAGAAAAGGTTGATAAGTGTGAGATTAGTTACAAACGTTTGATAAGTGAGAGATCAGGTAGTAATAGTTGATAAGTGTGAGCTCACCTAGTAACAGTTGATAAGTGTGAGATCAGCTAGTAACAGTTGATAAGTGTGAGATCAGTAAGAAACATTGGATAAGCGTTTACACACTTTTGCTTTTGTTACATTTTCGCATGATATTGATCTTATACATGCTGAGTGAAACGCGAATTATATCCTTGCAAACAGATGTAGCTTTCGCAGATTCGACTCTTTATCGTGAATAGTTCTAGGTAAAGATAGATTAATTTCCGAACTGCTTTTGCAGATTGTTTTGTTTTTGCGGAAAAAAATGTTACAGCTAAATTCATAAAAATACCACAGAAAATAACAATCGTCACAGTATTTTCGTGATGTTCGTATTCGCAATGCCTTAGTCGGTTTTAAGCCAATTCCTGGGCCACATGTTGGAGACACAAGGTATGGAAGATATGGAAATTTAACTCCAGTTTTGTGGCTCAGAACTTCGACAAGCCTTGACTCTGTCTCAAATTATTCACCCTTGGGTAAAATTCGCCTCCATACCTACATTTCCCCTAAAATCGGAAAAGTAGCTGTAACAGGCGGGGGAAAGAATGTTACGAATTCATATAGCTACAATACATAGGAAGTGAGTTAGAAGCTTGCTAGGTAAGTATATATTTTATTTTAATGCAAATATGTCAATTAACATATGGCATTGCAATATGAGATTATATTCTTACTTTTTAAAATACATATTGAACAACCAATCGCTTCTGACTTATGAGACTGTATATACTTTGTACAGATATTCCACCATGACAACTAACGAAAACTACGGTTGTTTACTTACCACAAGTAACTGAAAAGCAAGAAATAGAAGGTAATTATTATAAAGCATTTAACAAATTTTGGAGTGATATCCAATGTATGTATTGCTATATATATTTGTATTTATTATAAATGAAATAAATATATAATATATTTTCACCTGAATAGACTTAATATTTATGGTTAAGACATAAGAAGATATTGCCTTCTAAAGTTATATATATAATTGTAAGTCAACTGTATTTAACAAAATAACATGTATTAATATTTGAATGAATAAACGATAGGCATGTTTAAGAATATTCACTCACCACTGGCAAGCATTGTGAGGTTAGCCCCGGGGCCGGGCACGTACGTGGACGTCTGGTTAACGTGACAGTCCTTGGGGTACTGGGTAGCATACACATTACTAGACCCAGATGTCTGCTCGATCACCTGCTCAAATATAATTAACATTGTTTACACTGAACTGTACTGAACACAGTCATGTTATGGTATATTTCGAGACCAGATTTTGCCCACATGTCTTTTTCTATTTTGAATATTCCCTACGGCAAGGTTATCTTAAACATCGTTTGCAGTGACAAGAGAAAACCAAAGTGCCAACGAAAGCATAAACAGAAAACAAAATCGATTATGCTAAGGCAAAAGGTGAACAAGGAAAAGATTTTATAGAGACCCTCAAAACATTTCACATGATTGCAAACAGGTTTCTGCTTTCTTCGAAGATGAGTTGTTTATCGATCATGTTTTTTTATTTAAACATTTTGATGTTTGTGTTATGGTTCACAAATCCGTAGCAAAACACAAAATAGTTTGCAAAATTCTACACAGTTTTGTTTCAAAAAGAAACGTGCTCTTCTCTAAAATACAGAGTGTGCTTACACTTAGTAATACTTTCCTTCTGCTAGTATTATTATTTGCAGCATTATATAAAAGTCTGGTAATCGTCGTTTGTATTTTAAATACTCACAGTGAATAGAGATACACAGAGGGCTTTGTCGAACTACGTTCTTCTAGATAAATTTCAATACTCCTCTCTTATATAGCAGTCGGTAACCAATAGTTACGACGACCATAAGTGGGCACCGACACGCTTTTGATATAGGATTATCTTTAACTTGCATTAATGTTGATTCAAATAAACAAGGAGACATCTGTCTAGGAAAAAATGAAATTAAGATGTTATTTGTTTTTCTAAAGCTGGATAGTATAGCCTGTGATGTATATTCTTAAAAACGAGTTTTTCATTCAATGTCAAACACCGATGTAAAACAATATAAAGATTCAATTTATTTTCTAAAGCATTTTGTTTTTGTTATTTTAATGAGAGATATGAAACATAAAAATGGAAGTTGAACGAAACAAAACTGCTTTTGTAGCGATAAGCGAGGAATCTCCGAACTACATCTCGTTCACATTAATATCAGATTCTCCTACAAATAGGACAATACACGAGTCGACACTTTGTAGCTATATTCTAGTTTTTATTGGATTTTTTTTTATCTTTAAGAAATTACAATCAAAACTGACATGCAACTTTGAGTATGTCTTATGCAATACATGTACATGGATCATTGTTCCCGTAATATTTTAATTCGCGGCCGATACTTAACACGAAAACCTTCAATAATAGATGCCAGGCGAAGAATAAGTACAATGCCGTACTGTGACTATAAAGAATAACACACATTCCTTTATCTCGTGAATATTGGTTTTTACAAACAATTCATTCGATTGAATGCCAATATGTAAACACACTTTAATGTATAAAATTATAAATCTTTTGTGTACGGTTTTAAAGAAAACGGTTTTAAAATTTAAAGTAGTGGGTTTTTTTTATCAAAAATAACGGTGTAAAAGTGACATTTGATAAAAATCCTTCTTTGAATGGAAGCGATAATAGGATAGTGAGGCTCGTGAATTGTATACATGACATTGTTTTAAAGTGGAGAATGAAATATTTCATCTGTTAAACACTCACATAACATGTAAACCTGAAGGTAGTACTTTCGTCTGTTGTGCTATCCAGGTTGTATACATTGAGGGTGGTAACATCACCAGTCGTGCTGGAATACAGGCAGTTCAGACTCCCTCCACCTACACAACAAACGTAAGCGTCACAAACAGTACGCTGGATCCCCGGGGTTATCCCCATTCCAAAGGGGACGTCTACATTTTCACTCATTTGCATACTTATGATATCATTAACCTAATGTTTTTATCGAACACTCATCCATGCAATGATAAAGAAATTAGTGGTTATAAATAATGAAACCAGCTTTGAGTGTTAAATACAGTTTAAATAGGTCAGATAATTAGGATACCTAGTGGTGTCGCTGAATCCAAGATAGTTTACCAAGACATTCATATGTAACTACCTGACTATATCATACTAAAACCTTGCTAATTCGGCCTTACCGTCTAGAAACGTACCCCTATAATAAGGAACAATAAACATTGGGATGAAATATTTCTGTATCTATAAAACGGATGATCCGGTATTGTGGAGTTTTCCATCTGAAACCAAAGTAATGTACACGATTCCACTAGTATAATTTTGATGTTACGTACTAGAGTAAGCCTGTACAGTGCTGCACACGGAATAGTTGAAGGTCATCGTGTTGAGGTCAGTGCACACGTCCAGAGAACCCGTGTTATTAGTACAGTCGGAATCATTGAAGGAAAATCCAAATGTTCCCAGGAATATATCCGGGCACTGTTCCTTTACAGCTGATATCTGACCTGTGAATCAAAGGGAGTTTATCGGCTTTCAGGGACACTTCGGAACATTAGCTTACTCGTTTTAGTGTAGGAGCAAAACTTAATAGCCACTTAAATTGTCGCGGTTGATATACCATAATGCACTGTTTGACATAATGTGATCCTAATTACATGTTTTTACCAATACATTGATCATAATGCACTGTTTGACATAATGTGATCATAAATACCTGTTATTACCAATACATATATCATAATGCACTGTTTGACCTAATGTGATCATAATTACATGCTACTACCAATGCATATATCGGAACTAGCGCACCATAGTGTAGAATTTTGCTTATATTTCGTCCGATTCATCCAGTCTCATTGCCATGCATACGGATCTCTGAATAAGTGCATAACGTAAGACACACAGGTGCTTGCACCTATTAGATTTGGTAATATAACAATTTGCCAAAATGAATTAGAATTTATCATACAACTGATTGTCAGTTCTAGTACTAGCAGTCATTTGTATACAATGTCAGCAGCATCTGGAGAAACAACGTTAAGGTTGGACCTACCATCTGCCATGAGGAGGTAGTAATCAGAACTACCGAGGTCTGTACAGGCCAGAGAGGAGTCCACTGTAGTACCTGTGGCAACAAACCTTATTCTCTGGTAGCCTGCGTCCTGCAACATACCTGAAACAAAATATAATTGTTTTGCGCTTTGTTTTGATTAGCTGCTGAAGCGGTTTTGATTTCTCGTTTAGTTTGTTCATCTATCGCAATAAAAACTATCCTAATTCAAGGTTAAGGATAAATTAGACAATAACACAAGATGTCAATTGGACCGGAGAAATCATAGAAGGGGAAGGCATCATAAACCACCAGAACACATTCTGCAATAAAATACATATTGTTATGATCCAATGCAATGTCAGTTCTATCCTCAAATATCATATACATTTTTTTAATCTACACATCATAAAAATGACGTGTTGCATTATTTCGCTTTGAAAAGATATTTTTCGAGATGGAATTCAGAATAGACGTGTATATATGTCAACATGGGACACGAAGTTAGGTCGAGAAACAGTGACGAAATCTTAATGACATATTATCAAAATATCCATGTATATCTCGATTATAGTTATAAGATGTATGTCACCTTATTTGCGACTTGAATATGTTTTTGTTTCCAACACCGTCCTGCGAATGTCTTTGTCGTTTAAAAAAAATGTGCAAAATGGTATCATGCTGACAATAGGAAAATCAATGTTTCGTTTACATTAGCTACTGCAGTGACATACAACATAACTTCAGGTATGGGATTTATTTTTAATATTTCTTTAGATTGATAATACAACGAATTACCGTAATAATAGATGGACGTTAAGGTCAAATAACGGTCCTAAACAAAAGCTGATTGGTAGCATACTTACTTGTATGAATTTGGTATTTGTACAACGACTCCTTGAGACTAGTGAAGGAGATACACATCACAGCAATAGCAGGACTACTAAATAGCGTAAACTCCTCCGATCTGTAACCGTGGTCAACAAAATGATTCAAAATTAAATAGAATATTATTATGTTCAAGGATATTGTAAAATATACTCGTTTTAACGCCAATGTTAATAAATCTCTATCTGAGCTTATTCCATTAGAGCTATAAATATATAGTTTCTCTTTTCTAGTGGGGTGTAGGAAAAAGACATATCCCACAGCGTTACCACACACGGATAATTCCATAATTCAACGTCGATAGGAAGCGACAACTTGAACCATGCAGACACAACTGTAGACCATAATGAACTAATCCAGATCAATTAATGATCTACTGTAGTTATATAGTTGTGGGTTACTTTGAAACAGTAGGAGTTTCTCTGGACCACTACTGTAGTTATATAGTTGTGGGTTACTCTGAGACAGTCCGAGTTTCTCTGTACCACTACTGTAGTTATATAGTTTTGGGTTACTCTGAGACAGTAAGAGTTTCTCTGGACCTCTACTGTAGTTATATAGTTGTGGGTTACTCTGAGACAGTACGAGTTTCTCTGTACCACATGTGGCGCCCGTCATTAAAACTTCTGTCCAATCCAGTTTTTAAAATTTGTTTTTTTTCATCAACTGCGAGTTCTTAATATACCGCATTTTAAAACTTCAGTCTGTGGTTTAAAACTGTTCACCTATCCACTAACATAGCTATACATCCTCGTGTATCGTTATGTGCAAATATTCCTGCGTGGTGAATGAACAAGGGTGGGAGCTATTCTTATTTCTACTGAGGTTTTCTGTTTTGATCAGAGAAAAAATGCACCTCTTTTTAGAAACAAAAAATGAAGTGTTTTCGGCATTGTGACATACCAGTGAACATGCTAGTTTGAGCACTCCGGTACAATCTAAGATATGACATAGATGTATTACCGCCTACATACATTGTGACATACTAGTGAACATGCTAGTTTGAGCACTCCGGTACAATCTAAGATATGACAGAGATGTATTATCGCCTACATACATTGTGACATACTAGTGAACATGCTAGTTTGAGCACTCCGGTACAATCTAAGATATGACAGAGATGTATTATCGCCTACATACATTGTGACATACTAGTGAACATGCTAGTTTGAGCACTCCGGTACAATCTAAGATATGACAGAGATGTATTATCGCCTACATACATTGTGACATACTAGTGAACATGCTAGTTTGAGCACTCCGGTACAATCTAAGATATGACAGAGATGTATTATCGCCTACATACATTGTGACATACTAGTGAACATGCTAGTTTGAGCACTCCGGTACAATCTAAGATATGACAGAGATGTATTATCGCCTACATACATTGTGACATACTAGTGAACATGCTAGTTTGAGCACTCCGGTACAATCTAAGATATGACAGAGATGTATTATCGCCTACATACATTGTGACATACTAGTGAACATGCTAGTTTGAGCACTCCGGTACAATCTAAGATATGACAGAGATGTATTATCGCCTACATACATTGTGACATACTAGTGAACATGCTAGTTTGAGCACTCCGGTACAATCTAAGATATGACAGAGATGTATTATCGCCTACATACATTGTGACATACTAGTGAACATGCTAGTTTGAGCACTCCGGTACAATCTAAGATATGACAGAGATGTATTATCGCCTACATACATTGTGACATACTAGTGAACATGCTAGTTTGAGCACTCCGGTACAATCTAAGATATGACAGAGATGTATTATCGCCTACATACATTGTGACATACTAGTGAACATGCTAGTTTGAGCACTCCGGTACAATCTAAGATATGACAGAGATGTATTATCGCCTACATACATTGTGACATACTAGTGAACATGCTAGTTTGAGCACTCCGGTACAATCTAAGATATGACAGAGATGTATTATCGCCTACATACATTGTGACATACTAGTGAACATGCTAGTTTGAGCACTCCGGTACAATCTAAGATATGACAGAGATGTATTATCGCCTACATACATTGTGACATACTAGTGAACATGCTAGTTTGAGCACTCCGGTACAATCTAAGATATGACAGAGATGTATTATCGCCTACATACATTGTGACATACTAGTGAACATGCTAGTTTGAGCACTCCGGTACAATCTAAGATATGACAGAGATGTATTATCGCCTACATACATTGTGACATACTAGTGAACATGCTAGTTTGAGCACTCCGGTACAATCTAAGATATGACAGAGATGTATTATCGCCTACATACATTGTGACATACTAGTGAACATGCTAGTTTGAGCACTCCGGTACAATCTAAGATATGACAGAGATGTATTATCGCCTACATACATTGTGACATACCGGTGAACATGCTAGTTTGAGCACTCCGGTACAATCTAAGATATGACAGAGATGTATTATCGCTTACATGCATTGTGACATACCAGTGAACTATCGCCTACATACCTATCTATTGCTTCTACAATATGATATGACAATATCCACTTGGCAAACACATAAACTAATGCAATCACATATATGAACAGTAGGAAAATACAGTATAGTTAGAAAGTTATAAAGTATACATCTAACAGAATAATACCACCACTCTAGAAATGTGTGTAAGTAATAAACAAACATTTGGATATGACATTAAATAGTATCACTTCACAAGGCAAATATATGCAAAGAATTTACTATTATTTAATTCTGAAAAAATATTTCTGAATTTGATGTCTTCATATGGCATCATTATAACATGTTCAATAAGGCAAGATCTGCCAAGTGGTAAATATGAGAAGGATATTGTTTACTTCTCCGTAATATAATAACAGATAAAACTCAAAATAGGCCTACTGTTCTATACACACTCAAAACGTGTTTGTGTGTAAAAAAGTAAATATCGCAATCTAACTGTTATACAACCCAAGAAATGTTCCGGAATGGCCATGGACATATTTGAACATTAGGAAATCACGCAATAGCCATGGTGATTTTTAAGATATTTTAGATGTATTTGGGTATGTGGCTGTCAATATTCCTTGATGAGATAAATGAACAGTTGTCAATATTTGTTGAATAAAGTCCAACTCGCCCACCATACCAACATTCCGGGCAGCAAAGGAGACACACGGGAAACCACTAGGTGTGTCATCGGAAGTAAACAATGGCAGAAACAAAGCAAGAACATCTTGAACACTGCAATAGATATAGCAGAACAATTTTGTTTTTCTGTCAATGAACACAAAAAGAAAATCTAAACACCTGAAGGAAGTCCAAGAGAATGTATGTGATGGGATACATATTAGTTCATTCTGTGTTACATCATCTGTTTGAGAAAGAATTTGGACAACTGAATCGGTATTGGTACCAAAGATGAACATAAACACATTCAGGCGATTAACACCTATTCAATTTGGCTATAATTACAGCAAGAAAAAAGTGACACTGCACCATAAAGCTGATTGCCTATATTGAACTCACACAAGATACTAGGGGCCCAAGTGGACATCCAATTAGGTCTTCTACTGTTGAACTGTCAGAGGGGGGGGGGGGGGGGGGTCTTCTACTGTTGAACTGTCTGAAGGGGTGTGGTCTTCTACTGTTGAACTGTCAGAAGGGGGAGTGGTCTTCTACTGTTGAACTGTCAGAAGGGGAGTGGTCTTCTACTGTTGAACTGTCAGAAGGGGAGTGCGTAAATCCCGTTAATGATATGATTTTCAAAAAGGTAAATTTTAAATAACAATGAGGACAATGAGCATATCCAGTAATGAGCCACTACTCCAAAGGGATCCACTAGCGGAATCTACCAGCTTGTATCTTGAAAGATGAACGTGAAACACACAGATGATTTGTGAGTGCATCTTTACATTCAGTATGCCAAAACTGAATTCCACTGCATCGTATAGCTGTTTTGTCCAAGGGGTAAAAAAAAATGGTTGAGACCTAATATTAGTTAAACTACTGTTAGAACGTTACTTACTTGAGGATGTAATAGCTGCCCACAAGAGATTCGCAGGCGAAAGTGATGGTGCCCTGGTTGTACACCGTGTAGTCAGCAACATGACTGGAGTTGAAGGTAAGTGATCCGCTGTCGCTGCTGACCCATGTTCCCCTTAGGTCTGACGGAAACGTGCAGGCACCAGCTGTAACATGACAAGGAACGATCATGTCCAAATACTGACTTAGCTGAGGAGCTTGTAGCGATTGTCTGATGCTACCAGTTCACATGATGAATATATTCATTAAGTATAAACAGTAAATCCATCGTATAATACTAAGTCAATCTACAAAAAGTATCAATATGTAAAACTACAGGCAAGGAATCAACAGACGTGACACGGAAAAGCATAGTATAAAGTACTACTTTTCACTTTCGTTCAGTTAATTTCATCGTTAAGCTACTTAAATATATTTGTTTCCGAAGAGAAAGCTATACCATGTCGGATGTTAAACAAACAGGGTAAAATACGACATAATGTACATCTGCAATCGTACTTTATGGAAGTGCAAACTGTAAAGGGATGAACACAGAGTGAAAAATCACTTATTACACAGTTCTATTATATTGCAGACGCCTATCAGGGTGAATTTCAATAAAAAGCTATTTTTATTTCGTTTTTACACGATAAGGGCATTTACTATCTCGTTAAACCACGGTGAACAGATACAAAAGTGGAGAAAAGCGAAGTCAGATCCATTCTCTCTTTATCTGGAGCATAAACAAGTGTGTGAACAAATCATTGAATTTTGTTTCGAATTGAACTAAGCTAGAGCAAAAGTCTTGTGGTCATGCTCCCGTATTCATGAAAGCATTCTCATGCTCAAGCACGCATTTTGTGCTCAAACCGATAAGCAGTTCTGCCTTCTAGGGCTTCTTCAGGCGGACTGACAATTTTAGTGTCGTCATCAATAAACAATCATACAATTGACCTTCATTTTGACGGAGTATTCAGTTGTATGAACGTGTGTGTGTTAAAGCTCCATAAAGAATATGTTCGTGCGCGTTCATGCTACCGTATTCGCCGTCAAAATGAAGGTCAATCTTTATATCTACATCCAAAACATGTTTCAATGCTACAATACGCAGAAAACAAAACAGACGAAACGGGTTACTACGATGGTATTTACGGTAGCCGGGGTAACTACGATGGTATCTACGGTAGCTGGGGTTACTACGATGGTATCTACGGTAGCCGGGGTTACTACGATGGTATCTACGGTAGCCGGGGTTGCTAAGATGGTATCTACGGTAGCCGGGGTTACTAAGATGGTATCTATGGTAGCCGGGGTTACTACGATGATATCAACGGTAGCCGGGGTTACTACGATGGTATCTACGGTAGCCGGGGTTACTAAGATGGTATCTATGGTAGCCGGAGTTACTGCGATGGTATCTAAGGTAGCCGGGGTTACTACGATGGTACAATGTATATACGGTAGCCGGGGTTACTACGATGGTATCTACGGTGGCCAGGGTTATTACGATGGTATCTGTTATGATCATGTCCAAGGTTAACATGTATCCGGATTATTATCCTGTAAGTAGTGTCGGACCGCATGGTTCCGATTTATGCCTTGCGCATGCATGCTCTGTATTGTATGTTGTGAACCGACATTACATAACCTACAGTCGTGTGTTGTTGTAAGTTGTATCTTTACGATAAAGGACCCGCACAAACACAACAGTGGCGACGAGGATTGACGTAACCTTACATAGGAACAACACCTGTAACAGAAAAACTGTAAGGTATGGCTGTAAGACACAGGAGCATCGAAGAATTTGATGTAAACTCGCAAAATTGGGACGAGTACATTGAACGATTGCAACACTATTTTGTGGCTAATGCGGTGGATGATAACGATGTAAAACGTTCAATATTCGTAATGTTGTGAGTCCGGCAAAACCCGGAGAAAAAACGTACGATGAGCTGAAAAATAACATTCGAAATCATCTGCAACCCAAACCCCTGGTGATAGCGGAACGGTTCAAGTTTCATCAACGCAAAGAAAAGGAAGGAGAAACGGTGAGTCAATTTCTAGCCGAACTCCGTAACCTCAGTGAACATTGTAATTTTGAAGCGTTTTTGAACGATGCCTTGCGGGATAGATTTGTGTGTGGGTTGGCCTCCACGGCAACCCAAAGGAAATTGCAATCGGAAGCTGAATTGACATTGAAAAAAGCAATGGACATTGCCGTTAGTATGGAGATGGCAGACTGTGAATCGCGCAAACTAAAAGAAACATCTACAATGTTCGAGGAGAGTAAGAACGAGGAACAGACACACAAAATGTTTACACAATGCTTTCGTTGTGGAAAGAACAATCATAGTGGTTACATTTGTTATCATAAGAACAGCAAGTGCCTTAAATGTCACGAAACCGGTCATCTGAGCAAAATGTGTCCGGCAAACCGCGACCACATCAAAGTACTGGCGGAGGAAAATGACATAATTTTAAGAAAGAAAATCCGAAAATCAACTTCGTGGAGGATTCCGACGTGGATAGTTCTGGTGCCTATGAAACTGATTGTAAGTACTCTTTGCCTCTGTTTTCGATAAAATCTGACGGCCAGAAGGAAATAAACATTGATTTGTTAATTGACCGCAAACGACAGAAAATGGGGTTGGACACCGGGGCTTGGGTTTCTTTGATATCGGAAAAGGGGTATCGTCAGAAGTATCAGGGTTCTGTGAAACTGAACGACACGTCAACAGTTCTGAGGACATACACAGGTCAACTTTTACCAGTTGTCGGGGAGATGTCTGTGATGGTACAGTATGGAGACCAACAGGTGTCATTGCCGTTACTCGTGGTCAAGGCTGATGGACCTGCATTGCTTGGTAGAAACTGGTTGAGTAAGATAAAACTTAACTGGCAATCTATCAACTACACCATCAATGGACATTCACAGGACTCTTCAAGAAGTACAAAGTGTTCAATGAAGAGTTGGGTACTGTGAAGGGAGTAACTGCTAGCCTCCGAATAAAGGAGGATGCTATCCCTAAGTTCTTCAAACCAAGGTCTGTGCCTTTCGCTCTCAAAGACAAGATCGGCAAAGAACTTGACCGACTGGAAAAGGCTGGAATTCTCGAAAAGGTGGAGAGTTTTGATTGAGGCACTCCCATTTTACCAGTGTTAAAACCTGATGGTTCTATGAGGATATGTGGAGACTATAAAGTCACTATTAATCCCTACTTGGATGTTCCAGAATACCCGTTACCGACCAGCTAGGAGTTATTCCCAAAGTTGAATGGTGGTGATCAGTTCTCAAAACTGGATCTGACCAACGCGTATCAACAAGTGTTGTTGGATGAGGAGTCACGGAAGTTAGTTACCATCAACACGCACCGCGGCTTGTATCGGTACACGCGTCTTCCGTTTGGCGTAGCGGCTGCTCCCGCCATATTTCAACGCACTATGGACCAGGTCCTGCAAGGAATTGAAGGTGTCGGATGCATATTAGATTATATTCAAATCACGGGAAAATCTGACGCCGAACACCGTCACAATCTCGACACAACGCTTCATCGACTAGAGGATTTCGGTATCCGACTAAAGAAAACCAAGTGTTTCTTCATGAGCGACGAAGTAGAATATTTCGCGTTTAAGGTCAACAAGGGCGGTATCCATCCTTCACCGAGGAAGGTGGAAGCCATTTTGAAATTGGTTGATCCCCAAACTAAGCGTGAGCTTCAATCGTGGCTCGGTATTGTCAATTATTACCGCAAGTTCATTCCGAACATGGCTACAGTCGCAGAGCCTCTGACTCATTTGTTAGCAAACGACGTGGAATGGCAGTCGACCCCGGCGTGTGCTAGTGCTTGTAACACTATCAAAAAACTCTTAGTATCGTCCGAGGTCATGGTCCATTATGATCCACAGAAACCGTTAATGCTGGCTGTAGACGCCTCAGCCTACGGGCTCGGAGCGGTAATTTCACACACCATCTAGTCGAGCGACAAATCGATCGCGTACGCGTCCCGTGCATTGACGTGGGCCGAAAAGAATTATTCTCAGATAGAGAAAGAAGCGTTGGCTATTATTTTTGGAATTCAAAAGTTTCCCCAGTCCCTCTATGGACGGCGTTTTACGCTATTAACAGATCACAAGCCTCTGACAACGATCTTGGGGTCAAAGAAAGGCATTCCGGTTTTGGCAGCATCACGGTTACAGCGATGGGCAATCCAGCTGTCCGCGTACCAGTTTGACATTAAGTTTCGAACGACCGACAAAAACGGAAATGCTGAAGCGTTATCACGCTTTCTATTGAAAGAGGATGTAAGTAGCAACCGTGACGACTATGTTTTCTATGAGGAAGCTGAGTTAGTTAACAAAATGCAGGTAAACAACTTACCCGTTACCGCTTCGCGTATCGCAGCGGCGACCAAATCCTATCCAATTCTGTCCCGTGTGATGGAATTTACCAGAAGTGGATGGCCAAATGTCCATTCCAAGGATGATCTACAGCCGTATCACCGGATAAGAGAGGAGTTGACCAGCGAGGAAGGATGTTTACTCCGAGGTATACGCGTGATCATACCCGAACGATATCAGACGGATATCTTAAACGAGTTACATAGCAACCACCCAGGAATCGTGAGAATGAAATATCTGGCTCGGTTACACGCGTGGTGGCCAAACATGGATGTTGCATTGAGCGTAAAGTGTCGGCCTGTGAAGCATGTCGATTTATGGATGAAATGTACATGATCGTAGTAGACGTGCATTCGAAGTGGCTTGACGTAATACGTATGTTTTCGACAACTACGACAAGTACCATCAACGCCTTGAGGTATTTGTTGGCGTCTTATGGTTAACCAAAAGAACTGGTTTCCGATAATGGTCCTCAGTTCACCGCGGCCGAGTTTACCACATTTCTCAAGGAAAACGGCGTGCATCATATCACCAAAGTTCAAATGGTGAGGCAAAGAGAGCAGTGCGTACTTTTAAGCAAGCTATGAAATCAATGGCTCAGGAAGGTGGTACACTGAACCAGAAACTTGCTTCGTTTCTCTTGTCCTATCGTACCACACCCCCATAGTCTTACCAAGACTACCCCCAGAGAACTATTCCTAGGCAGAAAGTTAAGAATCAGACTTGATGTCATGCGTCCAGATCTGTCGGGGAATATACAACAAAAGAC